TTGCTGTTCAGAACCGTAAACAGCGACGACGATACCCAACAATTTAGATTTTTATTCTTTCCAATGTTTTTCTTTACAGCTGTTCTTTGTATTTTCAATTGAGTATAGTTTGAATTTGTTCCGACAGTTATATTATATCCATCGATATCATTGGGTGATGTAAATTAATTCCAAATCAGACTCAAATGAATTATCAATGTCCTCAAAAAGATTGATTGGTTGTGAGTAAATGACTAATAAATACATGCATTATTCAAGCTCGAAGGATGTATTGATATGAAAAATTTGTTCCAGTGCAAACTAATCAATTACTTTATAAGTGATTTGAAATTATATTCAATGAACATCATTTGATGTGCTTAATCAATTAACATTTCCTATTGAAAAACTAATCGAAACACATATTAACCCATTAATTTATTCATATTCATTTATTTGGAAATTAATTGCAATTAAAAAATAAACATTTTATTAATAAATTATTGATGTAACGACAATTAATCAATTGAATCACAATAGGGAGTTTTAATGTTATAAATTTGTTTTGAATTTAAACATCGGTTGGCATTACCTGCTTTTACCACGGTTCGCGGAGAGGGAGTTCAATCACAGTTCGTTCCTCTATGAGTCGGCGTGTGCTCCGGTTTTATAACTTCAAAATTGTTGTGTAACTAGTTCAAATCAGATGAACTAGTGTTCTTTTGATGAAAACCATCAATCGGAGATCACAACCCCATTGATCTGTACATGTCTTGTTAATATCGGAGACAGAGCAGCATTAAAGGTTAGTGGTGAATCTGATTTAAACAAACAAAATCGCATTGCCCTTTCAATTTCTACTGAAAATGAATAAGAAAGCCCCGAAATTGTATTAATTATTGCGCACTTCTAATTGGAACGATGATGACTTAAGAAATGGACGCGCACAATTATGTCATAGGTATCAATAAAAAAATGAGAGGAGCGCGTCGGTCCGCCATTTCTTAAGCGTCGTAATTTCTAATTAATTAACGCGAATTTATCAATAACTAGTTATAATTGCAATGCGATTTTATTATTATTATTTTAAAATCAGATTAATCACTAACCGATGATAGTTTTCTCAAAACATAACACAGTTCATCGGATTTGAACAAGTTGCACAACAATTTTGAACTTATAAAAAGGGAGCGCACGCCGCCGCATTGCCGCAGGGTTTCATGACCAAACAGAACTCACCAGCACAGAACATGACATATTAGGACAGGATAATGATACAAGAGAACAGGACAAAATAAAACAGAGTAGTACTAAAGAGAACAGCATAAAAACAGGGCAAAAAAATATTGATTAAAATTCCAATAAATAAATGATAAAGTTTAAATATATAATTAATTATAAATTTATTTTATAATACGTCTATTATCATGGAAGGTAAAGTGAATGTGTTAAAATTCTTAAGAATCGTTATATTTTCGTTCCTGAATGAATCCTGAATATAGATAATAAAAATTATTACTAATTTAAGTGTTTAATTTATTATTGTATTAACTTTATATTAAAGAAATATCAATTCTATACTTTATGAATTATGTGAGCAGAATTGATTTTTTTTTATATAATATAAAAATAATAAAGTAAATTTCAAAATATGTCGTTTTTAATTTAAAAAATAATCATTTGGGACATAGTATCATACAAAGCAGTTGTTCTCAAATTGTATGGTCCGCGACCACCTTTTACACTTAAAAGATTTAAAAGATTTCCCAAATAATGGGTATGTGTCATCAATTTTTTTGCAACCCCTTAGGGGGTGTAGTTGAGAATCACTGATATAAAGCACGCTCTAAGCAAAACCGACTTTCACTAGTTGTAAATATTTATTGTTGAATTTGATTATATAATAATAAATAATTAATTATATAATAATATTTATTGAAATAGAAAATTATAAAATTAAAAAAAAAAATCAATACAATAATATTAATATCATAAACCAAAAAAGTCAACTGCTTCAAAGGGCTATTGCTTTTTGCCCTTAATTATATTTTTAAGCTTTATCATTTATCTATTAGAATTTTTATTGGAATTTGAGTCGGTGACCAGACCAAACAGAACAGGACAAAACAGCGACAAAATAAAATAGTACTAAAACAGAATATCTATATTTATCTATAATTATAAAAGTGTTAATTGTGATAGTTATGCAATTAGTCTAGTTATACAAATATATGTGGAGCTCCAACTGAGTACAATAAAGTATAAGCAAATACATTAATATTAGCGTATGCAACCAACAATACATAATTGCTATTTTTTAATTTACGTAGTTTTTACAAACTGAATAATACTAACAATGGTTACTGTAATAACAATACATAAATGCATGGAAAATTATAATATTTGTGTATACAAGCAAATTTAATGTAATTGAAACACTCGGTATACAGAATAAGCTTGACTGAAAATCGATGTAATTCTTTACAATGGCTTATACAATATGTATTTGGAGTTTTTCAAGTTTTGTTATAATTCCAAGGTAATTGGTTTGACTGTAGAATTTTAACTACTTATGGCAATAATAATAATATTCTCTGAGCATTGCTAATCATAGTTAAAGTTTAATAACTCTCTAAGATGACCATTCTATTGAAACCATAAGTAATTGGTGAATGGACCTAATTCTTGTTGTTTAGTGAATATAAATATTTACTTGTTACGGCGCAATAATATAGTTTAATGTCCGTCGAGGCTACAAAAATCAATAATTCCCGGGATTTAATTTTAAATAAACGAATGAACCTGTACCAAATAACCTTTTGCAATAATTACTAATTATTAATTAAAAATATAGAGATAATTCCACTTAATAATTAGAATTACTATTGAAATAAACATTATTATTTTTATATTATGTCGACAATTAAATTTTACAACAAGGATTTAATTTCTTTATAGAAGATAATAATCCTTCCCACATTATTTATTTATTGTACTTTTAGTAATAGATTTTTAATAAATATAAAATAAAATTTACAACAACTACCAAAATCGATAAAATCCGGGACACATTTATAAATAAAGCTTTGTTGCGACCTATTTATAAAAGATTTCAAAATGAAATTCTGTATAAAATTTAATTTAAAATATTTTGGACAAGTAAATATTATTAAATAAGTTAAATTATATTTTTTTCCTTCATTAAAGTTGGTAATTTATATAAGTTTTTTCTGCTCGTATTTCATATATTATTTAATGAAACTGAATAATTCAATAAAATTTAGGATACGATTATAAATAAATTGTTATTGTGGCCCTAATTACAAATATATCTATCTATTTCAGGTAATAAACATAACGAACAAAGTGATTAACATAGTTTTCATTTACAGTAAAGTTTGATGAACTATGTTGAGTTTGAGTTGATATATGTAATTCTTGCAGGGGAAGAGGTACGTATGTTTTATTTAATGATTTTATATATATAGAACACCATTATTACTGCGCAATAATGTATTTTAAAGTGCGTCGAATCTAATAAAATCGATAATATCTGGGATTTAACTTCAAATATATCAGACGAATACATTTTATTTAAATTTATATTATCTTGTACTTAATCGAAGAACCTAACAATAAGTATAATAAGGATAAGGATTTTTTATTATCATTTAACTGAATTTAGCCTGCTTCAGATAAATGATAATAAAAATGAGATCTAAGATTTACTTCTTCATGAATGAAATAGAACGTTGTAACGTTCATGTGAATTGACCTAACTTATGAAGCTGTTCACTTGTTGCTTGAAGTAAGGCAACAAGTGAACCGGACATAAAGTTTCAAGATTTACAACATTGTGCAATTCTGTGTAATATTGCCATTCGCGTTACAAAACACACTTTTTGCAAAAATATTACTTGAAATTTTTATTACCTTTAGTCGAAAACTATTACTTATTTATTATTTTATAGAAAAAATGGAACGAATATTTATAAGGAAATTAAACTATTATGATACAATTAACTAATTTTAATGAGCAAATTTATTTATTTTTATTAGACTTTAAGTTTTGTAATTTTATTTTGAATGTACTACTTTTCTGTTCTATTGGGTGGGTGGAATATATATTGATCGAGTAGCTAATATTTTCCGGATAAAGAATAATTGAATGTCCCTAGCAACGGTGCAGGTGCAATGAATGCATTCAATAATGGAAAAGTAGGACATAGCTGAAATTAAAATTTGGGAGGTCAAACTGATGAAGTGCACTCCTCAGGATAATGAAGCCTAGCTAAAGTAATGTTTACAAAACATGAATGACCTTGGAAATTCATAAGGAATAGCTCAAAATCGAAGGTTTATGAAGGCGCAATGTACTAGGACTTGCGTAGGTCGAGGTCCGGATTCCCGGAAAACGATAGACTGCATGGATACCAGGGCGTGCGAGAGAGAGACGTATATGACGTTTGTTTGGTGGCAGTGAAATCTGCGTATATGTACCCAGATTCCCGCTCCGAGGGAGTCACAGTTTCATCCAGTTCGTTGTGAGTGCAACATCTTCTAATTGCAACCAGGTCAGATCTACATATAGGATAAAATGATATTACTAAATATTCAAGATTATTTTTTGAATTAACAAAAAAACAAACTCAAATTAATGATGTAAAGATAATTTGCATACCATTGTTGGCTTTAACAAAATTTATTTGCTAAAGACATCATGGGTTTAAATTGCCTAGTAAAATTGATTAACAAACATTTCATCACCATGAGCTTTGGTATATTGTTAGTATCGTGCATTATCGTCCCACTTCTCACCATTTCGGTATCAGGGTATAAGAATCAACAAATGGTTAGTTGCGTTTTTTAATTTTTTTTTATAACTTATATTGATATATATATTCAGGGAACAGAGCATGATAATAATTCTGTAGGAATTGATTTCTCTAAGTGGAATAACTTAAAGGAACCTACGACTCGTCCATATATAAGAAGTTCAAAAAATGTGTTCAACCGCCAAAACTTTACACGACTGACAACTTTCGTATATTTAACTTCAAAAAAAGTAGAAAATGAAGAAGTTGGGACCACTGTAAGAAAACAATAAGCATATATTTTTTTAAATTTTCTAAAACTTTTGCAATTCCAGGCAACACACGAAAATATAACGATTGATACAAGTAAAAATAATTGGCAAAAGTATAAAAATTATATAATTAACAATAATGAAAATTCTGGACGTTTTTATAATTCCGAACCGAATATATTTTGCGGATCTCCAGGTAACAATAAAATAAAATAGTGAAACGCGATTCATCTAATATCATTTTACTATACTAGAAATAGGCAATGCTCAACTGGTGTTCGCATCTGACGAAGGTAAAAACATGTTGAATTTCAACATCATCAACTCAATGTGCAAAATGCAGATGAAATATATCGAAATAATGAGTTATGAGAAAATATGTACTGGCGCAGAGAATTATCCTCCGGGAGATCCTAGGAATTGCTGCGAGGCTTGGTCTCTTCCCAACTACATTGCTCAGATGAACCACAAAACATCATGTCTTTTAATTACTGTAAGTCTATTTTTTTTACTTATTGTAACGTGTCCTACTTTTCCCGGACATGTTCTCTTTTCTAATCCGTCTTTAATGCTTCTGGAGGATAATGTTTCTTTTATCCAATTATTATAAAAATAATAATAAATTGAAATATTCGCATTAGTTTAAAAATCAATATTAGGGTGATACAAATATTTAGCCTCCCAAGATATTTTGATGAAAACAACAATACATTTTTTTTTATTGTAGGAATCAGATGTGTATAATACTGAAAGCACTTTGAAACGATGCGCTAGTTTTTACCGTGAATCCAAAATCAGTCCTGATTGTAGCGTGAAAGGTAATTGCCAAGTACCTCAGGAATGTGTACTTTTTGATAACGTTTATAATATATTCACTTACATTACTGATAATGAATTCTTCCTTCCAAAAGTAAGTATTTGCGTATAGAAGAATTGAAAAATGTGTGATGCTGAATTGATTTGTTTCTTAGAAATCGGAAGACATGAAAGTGAGCGAGACTATAATGATTCTACCGATGCCAGCCGGCGAATTTTTGATGCCTTTCTATAAAAGACTGACCGAAAATCTATTGCATATGGATGGTATTTCGGTGGTGGCTATGAATCTGGGTTTGAAACATGCTCTGTTTCGGGAAAGTCTACCCAGCGACGTTACCTACATACTTTTTGGTGCTATGGCTTTAACACTATGCATGTGCATCTATACTCGATCAGCTTTCCTAACCACCATGGCTATATCCGCGTTATTTGCATCGATAAGTCTTGGATACTTTCTATATTTTTACATCTTCAGGTTCACCTCCTTCCCTTTCATGAATACACTAGCTATAATAGTCTCAATAGCAATTGGGACTCACGATTCTCTCATATTTTGTGACATATGGACCGTCGAGTACGAGACCAGCTATAAAAGTTTGACGTGCATTATGTCATACACTGTGCGTCACACGTTAATGTCTATGGCCGTTACAAGTATGACAACATCCGTTACGTTCTTGACAACCTATTGGAGTTCCGACACAACAATCCGCTTAATCGGGTATTATTCATATTTCTGATTCATATATTAATACTAATGCATGAATATTTTCAGGCTTTTTGCAGGGATCGCGATATTATCGCATTTCATACTTCTGTTGTGCTGGGTAGTCGCAGTTGCAGTAGTTAAAGAACAATTAACAACGTTCGAAAAACTAAGGAATCTTTTAAAAATAAGATCTACTGTAATAAAACGTCTTACCCAACGCCCAAAACGATATATGATATTATTCGACGTACTGTGCAAATTTATGGCGAATGCAATCTGCAGGTTCATTGAAAAATTTAGACATTCGTTGTTCATAAGTTTGTCATTATTGAGTCTAGCAAGTGTTTTCATACTAATTTACCATCCATATCACGAGCAGACCTACTTTAATTACCAAATATTCATCAGCGATCATCCTTTTGAACAGTACGACTTAAAGTATAAATTCGACTTTCAGTTCAGCCAAGTAATTTACACAGCTTAATGTATTATTTCGAAATAATTTTTCTCAATTTTAAGATCAACAATCCTCTTGATAAATTGCCACTACGTTTCATCTGGGGAATCCTACCAGATAAAGAAAATAATAAGAATCCACGCTTCTTGGAAAAAATAACATATGACCCGTCCTTTAACATATCTTCTACGGAATCACAGGAATGGCTCTTAGGTTTCTGCCAACGACTGAGACAACAAAAGTTTTATTTAACAACTGCAAATAATAACAAGAACAATTGCTTTATGGAATCTTTTATAATATGGATGAACCGTAATTGCGATGACAATTCATCTGAAAACATGCGACCCTGCTGCGAAGTTAAAGACTTTCCTTACAAACCCGAATTATTTGACTATTGCTTAAAGAAAACAACACCTGAACCGTACGAAGAAGGTATTACTCAAGTATTGCCTGGGCCAAAATTTGTGGACGAAAAATACGTTGGAGCAATTATCATAGAGTATTCAAGCAACTATTCATTTTCAACTTCTGTCGATTACCAGCAATTATTTAAAGAAAAAATAAATACATGGTTTGTGGATGAGCTGTCAAATGCACCGAAAGGTTTGAAAAATGGTTGGCTTGTAACTGATTTTGATTTATACGAATTATATCGTGTACTAGCTATCAGCTCAATCATAGGAACGTTCCTCTCCATCCTACTATCAATGATGGTCATATACTTTTCAACATTAAATCTCATTATTGGCATATTAACAATATTCTGTATCACCTGTAACATTGTAACAACTATGGCAAGTTTACTAATTTTGGGATGGTATGTCGATCTGTTAAAAGCAATTGCGTTGTCAAGCACCATCAGTCTAAGTATCGATTACAGTCTTCAAGTGGCCATAAATTATAAATCTTGTCCAACAAAAAATGATCGTTTAATAGCAATGAAATTTGCAATGCAACAAATAATGGGACCATTGACTATGGCATCTATTTCTATCAGCATCATTGGATACTTTATAATGTTATCGGAAATACTAATTTACAAGCTAATTGGACAGTTTCTTATGATTATCATGGGATTCTCTTGGATTTTTGCTGTTCTCCATCTAGGTTCTTTATTGGCTCTTGTTGGACCGGAAAATAGTTATGGACAATGTAAGATAAAATGCTGGTTCTCGAAAAACGCTGAAACTATTCAAAAGGAAGATACAAATGCAGCTCCACCTAGCAAACTCGAAACACCAGATGACCAATATACCGTCGCCTATAATAAATCGGATAAACCTGAAGCAACAATTACAATTGAACCTATAAAATCTCCTTGCAACAGTACTGTTGTTGTCGTAGAAGATAATTAAAAAATCGCATCTTCTGCAAAATTAATTTTAAATTACTTCTAAATATTGCACCACGTGTTAATTACTGTAGTTGAATAAATATAAAAAATATTTGCACCGTTAGCTACCTAGATTTATGATTAGGTAAAGTTTCAATAGTATAAGTAAATGTTAACAACCAAATAATTGACATGAAGACATGTTTTCATACATTGAATTCTTAAATTATATATATGTATGGTTGTAAGTAGTTGAACAATAAAAATCATATTTCGTAAGAGATTATTTTATTATTTTTTTTGTCTTTTATAATATGCTTCTAATATTAAATTTGGTCGCTTTGTTAGATTTAATATCTGGAACAGGATGCTGGAACTTTCATTTCAACAGTCTTGGTTACGGTCTTTGAACTGAAGTCTGGGCTAGCTCCCTTGTTGATTTGGTTTCTCCACAATTCTGAGATGTTGGTCTTTGGAACGCAATGATATTTGACTGACTTTGTAATCAACTCGTTTGCGTTGCAAGAGCTTTTGCAGACTGGAATTTTATGAGTGGTAAAGCAGATGGTTTCACCATTGTTCTCAAGCATATAGCTCGTTTGTTGCTTGCTGCAGCTGTTATCAGAGTTACGCTGTCCAAGGTAGTTTTGCTTTTGAGTGTATTGTTGATGGTTACGGCCAGCATCGAAGTCGGAGATAACGTTGGCGTAGACATTATCCTTGTAGAAACATTCGGCCTTTTGAGCGCGAGATTTGTACTGTTGGACATGTCCTTGTTCTTCAATGGCGTAGGTGGCAGCGAATTCACGTGGGTTGCGGAGGATGCAGTTCTTTGGGGTGAGGAAATCGTCAGATTGTTCACCGGTGAAAGTTCCGCAAAGACCACGAACGGATCCACGGAATTTGTCGGAAACGACGGCCAACTTGACGCGTTTTCCATCGTAGATAATGTAGAAGCTATCTCTAACGGTAACCTTGATTTCTCCACTGGGGAGAGCAAAGAATTTGATGAAACCTCCTTGGATATCGGTGGACTTTGCGTCGGAAATTTCGTATTGCTTGCCGTTGACTTGGACCTTAGCGCATGGGTTAGACTTGCTGCAGTCTTTGTTTTCGCTTGGCTTAATTTCAAGATCGATCAATTGTCCTTGAGTTTCTGGAGTGCGGATGGTCATCCTAACTTCCTTCTCGGCTTGTCCAGACTTAGTATCACGGACAAGAACAACATACTGTTCAGTTTGTTGTTCTTCTTGTTGTTGTTGGTACCTTTGTGGTTGGTTTTGTTGTTGCCTGGCAAAGGTTGGGACGTATTGGAACATGACAGTCCAAGCGTGTCCAAGATCAATTGGGTAGGTCTTGTTATCGAAAGTGTTAGCGGCGGTTTTGTCGACAACGCAGATTGCTATATAAACATGAAAATCAATTTATTAATACAAATTGGCCATGTTAATTTATTTTAATACTTACGTCTGTAGGTGTCCAATTGAAGAAGTTTTCCCATAACGCGATTGGTCATTGGGAAGACTGGATGGACAGCAACGACTTGTTTAGCCCAGTGGTTAACACGGATTTGTTCGAATTTGGATTCCATATGTTCAGACTTGATTGTAACGTTGACAGATTCAAAGTTTGGTTCGAAACGAGCTTCCATTTCGATTTCGTTTTGCTTGCCAGATTGTTTATGCAAGTTTTCGCGGAGATTGTAAAAACCAAGGTAGCGCAAGTAGTCATAGGCTCTGCGGCTGCATTCAGCGGCTTCTGAAGAAACGTGTTCGAATTGAAGTTGAACTTGGACGCGGTCCATGAGGTTTGCTTCAGCAGTCATGTTGGCGCAAGCTGGAAGTTGGTGGTTTCCTTCTTCCATCTCGCGACGGCATTCGTGGGCGCGTTGAAGGCTTTGGAGGTATTGCTTGCGGGATTCGCTCTTGCGGAGCTTAGCTTGTACATGAACCTTGGAAGCAGATTTCAAGTCTTCACCAGCAGCAACTTCAATTTGGACGGTGGAAGTAGGATCGAATTTCAAAGCGTGAGCGAAGTCAAGACCGTTGGTGTTTGGTACTTGGGCCTTGGCAGAAACGGCAAACTGGAATGGTCTGTTTTCTTGTGGGTTGGCAGATTGCTTCCTGATGTAACAGAGAGCACGTGCCTTCTGATCGACTGGGCTGCTGGCAATAGCAGCGGTAGCAGTGTATTCAATCTTGTTTTGTCCATCAAATTCAATAGAAGCATCGACAACGCGGACATTAGCACTCTGGATTCCAGCAGCAGCCATCTTGGCGAATTGTTGTTTGCGAGCCTTAGATTCATTTGGAAGTTGGGAGAATTGGCTGATTTCAGCAGATGGTCCATTGCTTTCGTTTCCATGTTCACTTTCGTATCTGGATTCGTATCCCATGCGGAATTGAACCTTACGAACAGTAGATTCAGCGCCAGCATATTCAATTTCCATTTTCTTGTATTGGATGGTTTCGTCGTTGTAAATAGCCATAAGAGCGGTGACACGGTCTTGACGTCTCAGCTGTTCAAGAAGCCATTTGGTATCCATGAATTGTTGGTCAGAAGTGTAACCGACACGGAAGGCCATACCAATCTTCTTTCCAACAACAGATTGGAATCTGGTTTGTTCGGATTCTGGAGCTCTGATAACGTGAACGTTTTGGCTCTTGACAATTGGTTGCACTTTGAGGAGATCCTTCTTGGCGGTGTATGGGTAAGTGCTGTAGTGGAAGACTTGAGTGTTCTTTTCTGGTTCAACTGGTTGAAGTTGAGCGTTCATCTGCTTGTTCTTGATGTCAACTTCAATTTGGGCCTTGAGTGGGATGTTGACTTGAATGTTCCTGTCGAATCCACTAACGTAGGAATGGTGTTCGAATGGAGCAACAAAACCAATCTTAGTTTGAACCTTAGTAGAGAAAAGAGCGTGCAATTCAGTTTCACCGTTGATGGTGTGTGGCTTGTGAATTTTATCTCCAGAGCTGATTTGTGGTTCAGCGGAAGCACGGATTTGTCCCTTAACGTGGAAGAGAGTTGGAGTATGTAAAGTGTAAACGAATGGAAGAGACATTTCAGTTGGGAAACTGATGGTAACTTGTTTGGTGTCGTAGAATTTACACAAATGGTAGTCCTTTCCATCACGGAGATGTTGTTCAATGTCACGGATGACTGCAAGATAAATATAATGTTAGTATAGTATGAAAAATGTTTATATATTTTTAAACCTACCACTTGGCAACAGTTCAACGGTACGGTTATCGAAAGCCATGAAGCGATTGGCAATAACGCCGAATTCGAAAAGGAAGTTTCCTTCAAGTTGTTCACGTTCTTCGGTTTGGATGTTAAGAAGACGGGCAATATGTTCACTGGACCATTGGTTCTGTTGAGCTTGTTTGTAATTTTGTTTTTGTTGTTTTTGCTCGTGTTGGTGAATTTCGGTTTGTTGTTTCAAAACGTTGGTGAGTTCATCAATGCTGGAAACCATAGCTTCGATGTCAAAAATTTCAGTGTTGAAACCGTTAAGTTCAGAGCGGAGCATGGACTTGATACCGTTTGGCAAAGAGCTTTCTTCGTTTCCGTAGATTTGAATGTTTTGCTTGTAGAACAAGTTCATTTCCCTATTGACGAAGCTACGAAGGAAATTGCGGGAGTATTGAATTCCGAAATTTTCCTTGGTCAAAAGTGGTTGAGCAGCTTCAGAGTTTTCCTTGCTATAAGATAATTAAATTATTATTTTATGGCAATTGATTTTTTTATTAAATACTTACAGTTGAGCGTATTGTTCTCCTTCCAATTTAGTAGCGGATTCGATGGCAGACTTGACAGCAGCATTAACTTGATTGCTGGTATCGATGTTGGTATATTGAGCCATGCGTTGGAGCATGCTAGCTGGTGGGCAGGTACGCATAAGAAGGAAGACAGCAGCAACGCGGACAACTGGTTCTTCTCCGGCATTTTGGTAAATCTTATACAAGACAGAACGAGCGATCTTGGGGTGAACATCAACGAGTTTACGCAAAGACAAGATCATATTGAAACGTTGGAATTGGGAAACTTGTTTTTCACCTTCAAGGTATGGTTCGAAAGCGGCAAGGATCTTTGGGTGGGCGACGTATCCAAGAGCACGGATGTTGACGAGAACTTTACGGGAATCGGCCTTTTCAACAGCTTGGTTAAGTTTTTGCTTCAGGTATGGAATAAACTCCTGAACTACAAACTGCTTTCCTTCCTTGCGGAAAGAACCGAAGGTGTGAACTGGATATTGGTTGTGAGAAACTTCTTTGTCGTTGTAGACTCTGCATACAAGCTTAGAGAAAGACAAAATAGCGGTTTCGGCAAGAACTTGTTGAGACTTGACATCTTCATCGGTGACCAAAGCGTAGAAGGTGCGCATATATTCTGGAGTTGGGTGGCGAGCACTTTTAGCCAAAACGGCGATAACTTCGGCGGCTTCTTGCTGTTCGATTTTCTTGGTTTTAATCCATTCTTTGATAGTCAACAAAGCTGGTCCAGTTCCACAGGTAGCGACAGCGTCGCGGAAAGATTTCCAGGCATCGGCCTTTGGTCCTTTGGATTCCTTGTTATAAATTTGGCGAGATACTTCTTGCATTTCCTTTTCGTTCATGAGACGAAGGAGATTGGTCAAAAGGATGAATTTAGAAAGAGTTTGTTCCTTTTGGATTTTCTCTGGGCGTTGGATTTCTTGACCGATTTGTTGGGCGAGCTTTTCAGCGGCTTCAACGATGTTGACGTTTTGTGCGCTTTTGATGGACTTTCCCTTATTGCCAATGTGCATTGGGAGGAGTGGAGTTTCTGGAGCAGAACTCAATTTTGGTTCTTCTTGAGTCCAACTGTCTTCAAATTCAGGGGAGTCAAATTCTTGTTCGGCGGAGTTGGCAGAGCGACGATGTCTGTAGTGACGTTTTTGATGTTGCATTTCTTCGCTAGAGAAATCGTATTCCTCTTGTTCTTGACGTTGCTGTCCTGGTCTAGCCTCGTGATTGCTGGAGAATGGGCTTCCGTAACGGTAAACAAGGGAACCAAGTTGTTGTGGCTCTTGAATTTTTTGGAATTGGCTGGAAGCTGGTTGAACGTGGGTGAGGGTAAGGTTGAGATGACTCACAACCATTCCCTTTTGTTCGCTATTCAAGCTTGGGCTCAAGATGATTTTGTTAGTGGTGACAGCAGATTGGATGGTATAACGCTTCAAGTTTCCGGAGATGACGGCACGACTCAAAGAAGATCTAAGGAAAAATTCTCCCATATGGTTGGTATTTGGTTCCCATTTTCCATTAGCGCCGAGACCGAAGTGATATCCAACACGTTCTTCTCCACGGCTGAAGTTCTTGCTCTTGACAATTTCAATGAATTCGCCATCGCCCTTCATTTGTGGCATTGGGACGAGCCATGGTTGGGATTGCAAGATGTATTCTGGCAATGGGGTGATGTCGTACAAGGTTTCGTATTTACCAGTAACGGTATCTTCCATGGTCTTGAATACAGCATTGTTAGAACCTTCCTGTGGAAGTTGGTTAATGTGGCTCTTAATGGCGTGTTGTCCTTGAGTGTCAAGTTGGATTTGGCTGATAATACTCTTAAGCAAATTGGCTTCCCAGTTATGGACTTCCTTGCTGACGATGACGTCACGAACAACACCGTTCTTCATGACAATTTCGAAGGGCTTGTCGCTGAGTTGCAATTGTTGGAAGTTCAATTTTGACTCAGGGATTTCGCTCCTCCAACCTTGTGGAAGTTGGGTGTGAACTTGAGCGTACTTGGCGTCGGAAATCTTAGCAACCAATTTACCATCACCTTGAGGGCGGACGATAAGATTGGCCGACATAACAATACCAGCGTACTGGTTGGCTACATCTGGTAATCCGGTAAGAGTTCTACCTTGTACTTTGTACAGGTATTCGGTGTTGCTTTTCCATCCATAATCGGATGCAGCGGCAAAGCCAACTAAACGAAAACACACAAAAATTGTAATAATAATAATAATAAAATAAATTGAAAAAATAGGAAACTGGAAGCAGGATACTCACCAAGGCAACAGAGAAGAAGTTGCGACCACATCTTGGACTCGAGAAATCGGTCTCGGAAGTGTGACTATCCTAGCACTCACATTGCCTTTTATACAAGATTGCAAATTGACATTTCAGCATTATTTCAGAGGTCAACGCAAAGTGCAGCAGAGATTCAGCAAATGCAGACGATAATAGCGTATGCAGTTTCTATTTTGTACATTTAGCAACAAAATAATTCGTTACATTTGTATCTGAAAATGTGAAAATTTTCGGCAAACACGTGGTAGTGCGTTGCGTGAATAGAGTAATAATATCAGTAACCACTTGAAAATACATTATCTTCATATTTGCTGTTTATCATACGCGAATTCGGCCCTTAAAACAGAATGTTTTCAATTTACTGCCGGGGATATTTTAAGTACATTCCCGCAACAGATATAAGAGAGGCGTCGCGACGCTCTCTATTCAGTTTAGTGAATTTGTTTGCCTCGTGTATTAATACAGATCTCCCTTATTACTCTTCTGTTGCTTCTCCCTATCTTCTTTTTTTCTTTCACACGCAACAATTACGCAACACGGTAAAATAAATAAGATATAGGCGATAAAGTAAATTGAATCCTTGAGGCGATGCTTCTTATATCCGCCCCCTGCATTTAATCATGGATTAATCATTTATTCTTGTGCTACTTGAGCCCCACATTCAGTTCAAACAATGGAGGTTTACGAAATGGGGGAGTACGATTACAATAACGAGTACGAATACGATGTTAAAGAATCTCATTCGACTTTCCATTGGGAAGAACTGTCACCTGTTCTGGTGGTCTACGGAATCACCTTTTGCTTAGGTTTGTGCGGAAACAGCCTAATCGTCTACGCAACCTACAGGTACAGAAGGATGCAAAGCGTGACAAATGTCCTTTTGGCCAGTCTCGCATCCTCGGACCTTCTGCTCATCGTATTCTGTATACCTGTTAAGGTAAGTGCAAGCCAAAACTGTTGCAGAACGCGTTATCTGCAATTGCCAATTCAGCGGATTAGTTTTATCGCGATAGTTCAAAGTTCCGGCAAAAATACCGTGAAAGGTTTTCGCGCCGCCAATTCATAAATTGATATTGGTTCTGGTGTGATACACAAACTAATTGCAATCTCTATCTAAAAAACGTGTATTTTTAGAAAGCTTTCAAGAAAAACTATTTGCGAGCCATATGTTCATATGTATCTTCCTTGTTTTTTATTATAATTTCAACATTGAATGCAGGCTCCACTCGCTTTGATATTGTTTAGATTACATATGCAAATGGCTGGCAGCGAGATTTATTACACAAATTCGACAGGAATTTTAAGTGCCTTCGCCAATTCACAATTCACAATCACGATTTGTTTTAGGTGGCGAAGCTATTCTCGTATACCTGGGCTCTAGGGTCATTCCTCTGCAAATGTGTACATTACATACAAAACGTCTCCATGATTTGTTCAGTATTAACATTAACTGCCATAAGCATCGAACGGTAATTTGAACACAATCATACGAATGATACTACTTGTTGCTACTCTATTTTAGCTACTATGCCATTGTTCATCCAATGAGAGCTAAATACATTTGCACTATCAGTCAAGCACGTAGGGTCATTCTACTAACTTGGGCTTTATCCATTATACTGGCCATACCCATTTTATTCGTTCAGGTAATCAACGCGGCTTTAATCATTCAACCATTCAAGTTTATTGATCGATTTCAGATCCAGATGTCCGTAGGCGAGAAAATTAAAGCATTCTGGTGCGTCCGAGATTGGGAAAATCGCTCTTTATGGATATCCCATGAAGTCTACATGTTGGTCCTAGTACTCCTAATCCCATTTTGCATAATGACTCTAGCGTATTCTCTAATTTGCTGGGAAGTTTGGAATGTGATGGAACGCAGGAATCTAATGACCAGTAGACATGCGTAAATATTTATATTTGTACATATTTCATACATCCATGTTCATCTCCTAATTAATAATAATATCTGCTGATAAACGATTCTACATATTTCTTGTAAATAATCAATTTGTTGTAGTCTTTCGAGGAATCATACGGTGCAACACGACGGTATCCAGTTGAACAAGTTATCGAAGCCCAAGAAAGTCAAGTATGGTAGAGATGACACCAGGATGGTGAAGCAGGTGATTTGCATGCTAGTGGCGGTGGTATTCCTATTCGCGATTTGCTGGGGACCAGTGCTCATAGACAACGTCCTGAAAGCTTATAAAATTCTACCAAAGATTCGGACGGGTCCTTTGAAATACATGGGAACCACCTTTCACTTAATGGCATACTTCAATAGGTCTGTATAAACATATTGTAATCAAACCGGGTACAAATGATTTGTTACTTTTAGCTGCATAAACCCGGTTATTTATGGATTCATGTCGAAGAACTTCAGAGATAGCTTCAAAACGGTACTTTGCTGCTACAAGGAAGGCGCGAAGAAGAGACATGCAAGTACGGCGACTAGTAGCATACGCCATGCATCTAGATCTGGATCGCAGACTAGGAATACTTCGATCAGATAGATCGGTTCCAGTTAAATGCTTTGCTTTCATAATGCGTCTACTTAAACTAAACAAATAATATCTGCGAAAAACATCAGTAATACAATATCATTCGAATATGAATTGTAGCAATTACAATGTGCACAGGTATTAATTAGTACCGTATAAGTTAAAGATAAAGTACTTATCACCTATCTTATTAAAATCAGAACGACGCATGTTATAATGAAAATTAATAGAAAACACGTTTTACGTAATTACCATTGAGTCGATAATTTGGTCTGCGATGTATTTGGATAGTGATATTGATATTTTGCGACGCTACATATGTTACACAGAAATAATAACAACGCAGTAAATATGTAAAAATGATGATGCAAAAGCATTGATCATCAAAAATTTGTAATTATGTTATCAAAATAAAGTTTAATTTTACATGAATCAAAATAGATAACATTTAATCATTAAAACAAAAACAAAATAATAAACGAATGGAATCTATGGTCGATTGTTATTCGGCATTGACAATGCTAATTTGTTTTATAAATATTCACTATTTTTTAAATAAAATGCGTCACAAACCAATATATTCAAGCATATTTAAATTATTTGTCACTAAGTTTATAAAATATGTTATCGCTATGAGCAGTATAAAATAACTGCTTTGCTTATTGTATTAAACTGTATTAATGATTGTAGTATTTTAGGCTGAAATAAAATATATGGGCATAATGAACAAGATTGTGTTTCATTTTCTTGCTTTATTTAATAATCATAAAATATCAAATGAACAAATTTCAAATTCTTGACTAAGATATCGTGTTCATGAATCCTACAAATCGGAAAAAAATTAATAAAAAAAAACAAAAATATATCTGTATAAATATATATCTATATATTTATATATACATAAATATATATATATATACAAATGTATATATAAATATATACATATATGTATATATATATAACGTACCACCTTAAATTAAAGTTAAGTTATATTAGCACATAAACGTAAACATTTTGTTGTTGCTTAATATATTATTTTCACTCTAGTGTATACTTAATTCATATATAGTACAAAAACATCTATCATTCATGTAAAATGAAGCAGTTGCAGATTTTGTTTGTTTCCATTTTCAATAGTTTTCTATTAATTGTATAGGCTTTTTCGATTCACTTCATTAAACGGAAGTTGTACAGTAACCAGGGTGACAAGAAACTATAACTGACCACGAAAAGCCCAGAAAAAATAGAACGTGGAAAGAGAGAAAGAAAAAATATGTATCGGGAATTAATGTAGATACATATATATAAATATATACATATATATTAATTACATAAATGTAAAAGCACAAATTATATCACTAAATAGTATCTCTAAAATTATAAAATAATATTAATAATAATTTTAATTAAAAATAAGGAAACTCAAATAAAACCACTACTAACAAATTGAATAAAAAAATAGTGGACGTTCCCTGCTCGCATCTAAGTTATATATATATATTTTTTTTAAGTTAAGACAATCTCAACTTTCGTGTAACTAAAATATTATGAAGAAACTTCTTTTTTTTTTCTTTTGAATTTTCGTTTTCAAATTAATTTTCGTGCAAGAGTGCCCTAACTTAAAAACCAAGCCTGGGAATATAATATAAAAACAGATCTTTTCCTTTAATCCTATAATATATGTGTATAGTTCCATACAAATATATTATATACTCAATTTTATAATATATATTCTATACAAATCCAGCCAGTCCAAAGATAAGAGATACCTATTTTCAGTGTGTGTGATGTGTTTTCATTAGTTGATTATTGTTATTGATTACTTCATTTCAGTGTGTGTTATATTCGTGTGTTTGTTTTGAGTTCTTTTACGGACGTTTGATGGTCTAGGTATTTCCAACTTGGGACGGGTTCACAGCCACTCAAATACCACTTTCATCAATAAAGAAATTTCTTGTTATTACATCTTTACCAACATAAAAGATAGTACATTCACACCCAATAGATAGAGACAGTTCAGATCACAGAGTTTCACTATCAGTTGCAAGGCACTGGCCATTATTTTATATTATTTTAATGAATTTTTTATTTTTTTTTGTTTGTTTTTAGTTGGTCTCGTAGCTGGTCAGCAAGGCAGCATCGACTGGCTCCATGCAGCTTGGACAGGTGAGGCTGCGCATCAGCCAGTCATCGATGCAGCTCTTATGATAAGTATGCATGCAGGGCAGGTAACGGACGGTGTCGCCCACAATGAACTCCACCATGCATATCACACACTCCCTGGCCTTTTTGCATCCATCATAGGTGCCAGTGGGTAAGTGCTGAATCAGGCCAATCCTCTTGGCTATCTTCACCTGCTCTTCCTCGGTCAGCTGGCCCACAGAGCGAGTGACACTAGGTGAGGGGTGATAGACAGGAGAGGCTGCTTGAATTGGCAGTGTCTCCTGCAAGAACAAATGTTGTTATTAAAAAATAAATAAACGTAATTCATCATGTGATTGCTGCCTGAGCATGCATATATAAATTATAATAATAACAATAACAAGATATTTGTGGTTATCCGTTTTTGGTTGCAAAGTGGATTAATTGTTTTGAAGCCATAGCGGTTGGGGTCAATGGGATTATTAAATTGATTTTGTTGTCAAGTCCTTTATAGGTTTGCCTGTTCGCGTATCTGTATGTGTTTGTGAATACGTGTGTGAGTGCGAGCGAGAGTGTGCCTGTTTATGTGTATGTCTGCGTGAAGGACAATGGTCTTATCTGCATATGCATATACAGTGAGGCCATTGGCAGAACAACAAAAGAATAACGGACACATATTGCTTTACACTGATAAGGGGTCATAAAATATAGCGGGATACGGATATGGTAGGAGTGTATACTATGACCAGTACCTTACCTGGTAGGGTGAAGGTCCCAGCTGATCCGATGACGTTTCGCGAACGCTATCGCTGCCCCTCAGCAACGAAATATCATCGGTGGTGGCCCTCTTCAAACAGTTACCCATGTTGTTATCGTCGCTGTACGATGGTCGTCACGCATTTAAATAACCATAGGTGTTGCTAACAACGGCTGACGGTCCACGAAAACATCTTCCTCGCTCGCCAGCAGTAGGCATGAATGTACCTGGCCGTGTATATCTGTATGCGATACGACCGTCTTCCGCTTACAAAGAGAGCGTGAGCGGCTGTACTGGCCTACCAAGTTTACCAAATGGTACACAGACCAACCGGATAACTCAGACTTCACGAACAATGTTGACACCGTCGGATGCTAATGATGGAAACCCCGGATTCGTTTCGATTGGAAGATGCTTTCCAACGGGCCTCCGGTTCTTTCGTTATCCCCTTTTCATTCTAAATCTGGCAACCTGTCAAACTCCGGCGACGCCAGCGCCACCTAAACACCATGGACGCGCCGTCGCGACGCGCGCATCTTTACCATACATTTTTTACATGTGCATTACACGAATTGTTTGTATCCCAAACCGCCATTAAAACCATTTAAAAGTATCGACTCTGTATTTTTTTTTATCCTCGTCCCTGAATTATTCACCAAACTGCACCTTCTCTTGCACGCGCATTATGCAAAGAAAAACTAGTGTAATATTCTAATTCATTGCTAAAAATCACTAATTACGCCTAATTGAAATAATTACAGTTTAATTAATCGCTGTAATTAATGCATCAATTTGGGTACTACAAAATCTTCATTTCGCATTTATTTTATTAAGCATTTAATTAAAAAGACTACAATAGTCTACTTGAACATATTCAATTTATGATGAAAACTTATCAATATTTATTCACATAAACCATTACATTCTCAGATTATGTTTGGTGGGTCATGTCAACAGCATCGATAATTTGATCCTACGGACTCAAATATTTATTTTATCAATAATTCTAGTATAAGAAAAAACTTTATTTTCTTTTTTAAACTAGAGTATTTCTTTATAATAATAGCCATAAATATTCTTTAATAAAATATTTAATATACAATAATATCGCATAGACTTAATCACATGAAAAATCGAGAAAAATTATAAATGATTATTTTTTATCGCATTATTTACATTATAAATAGATACAGTTTGAGATGAACCAATAATAGTTCCATGGATTAACAACGAAATATCACGTAATAATATTAAAACAAAATCAAATAGTTTCGAACAATTGAAAACCGAAAACCTCAAATAATTAAGAGTTTTTCGGTTTCCAATTTTCCGATTTATTTGTCTTGCATAACCATTAAAATCCGTTATTTAAAATAATTCGAAATTAAAAAAAAATACAATACATCAACGTTCAACATGATTGATTACTGTTAAACGTAGAATAATTCGAGGTAATTAATTAACGTAAATAATTTACAAGCTAACAACTGAAAATACATTCCATTATAATATAAATTTCTGATGAAACTTTGTATTTCCAACGTGATTGATATCTAGGAAATAGTTGACTCATTTTATTCTGAAAATGAGTCAGTTCTTCGCTTTAAAAAAATATTCACATGCGTTTGAATCATAATATTTTTGTTATCTTGTTCAATTCAATTTCAGGTATAGAGATGACATGTAATGTCCACAATCAGATGGATGGTAAGCTATAACACTGATATACGTTTTTTTTATCATTGAAATATTTATCAGTAAGTTTACTTTAAGTCTGTATAATGAAAATAACAATATTTGTTCTGTATTTATAGATATTGCACATTGTACTCGAAGGATAAGTGTTTGCAATGTTGTTTATTATTTAACAATTTACTAAATTTTCAGTTACAAAATATGGCCATATTGATATTTGTACCTAAGAGAGATTTGTAGACATATTTTAATCAATTGGACAATAAATTATTTACTTTTATACACTCCTGCCCAATGATCAACAATACAATAAGAGTTTTTATATTCTGTTCTTTTAGCACCAGGGGGCGTCAGACGTCATAAATATAACGATTAGTAAGAAGTTTACTTGGAATTTCCGAATTCGCTATGTTATATATTTGATATTGTTTGGATTCATTGACAAAAATAATAATTATTGCTTTAAATTTTTGTTTCGTAAACAAATATTTCTGTACATCATATTATTATTTCTCGAGAAGAAAATCATATGGTTGATTATTTTTTATTTAATTATGATGATTATTTGAATATGTTTTAATTTTTATTTATTTACATATTTATAAGGTTTAGAAATTTATTTATAATAATTATTATTTACAATGTTTCTCTTATGTATTGTTTTTTTTTAATGTGTTGTATGTTATTAATACTTAAATATGCAATAGAATCGTTTTAAATTATTTAGAATAATTCTTCAATAATTGAAGATTTATTTTATTTAGTGAAAGAAAATTTTAAATTGGATAATTTCAAGGATAGGACAATACATACATTATTTACAAATCCTTTTTTCTATTATTTCTACTTAAATAATACTATGTTGGTTATATCATATCACCAATATACTATTATTTATGTTTACTAGGTTTAAGTTAATAGTTGTCCTAGAAACAATTAGTCGTTGTTATTATAATTGAATAGTTTAATTTCGATTTGATTGAAACTAGAGGATCAAAGGTTTAGCAGATTAATTGGCTTGATTTCTGCACAACGTTTATGGCGTGAAGGAAATTAGAAATGGAAAAGAAAGCGGTCGTCCTTGGCAAGCAACAAATTGTGAAAGGACTTATGCAAGAGCCGAAGTTTGAGCAGATCAAGAATCAGAATGTGAATACCGAGCGTAGAGACATGGGCGTGCGTGCAGTGGTGGATGCCGTCGAAAGAAGGTGGCGGTGGAAACGGGTAGGTGATGCAAGCCGAGGTGAAAACGATTGCGAAAAGAACCAAAACCTAAAAACGAAGGAAAGAAACAGAAAGAGAAAAAAAGAATGGTAATGGATGTAGCGAAGGTCGTCGGGTGTGGATGGATGGTGAGGTGTCCGTGCAGAGTTTCGGCGAGGTGAAGGAAGGTGGTTTGTGGACCTCCATTGCTCCATTGTACCTCCATGGACCACCGTGGACCTCTCTAGCCCTCTAGCGGGAAATAGGGGGAAGAAGGAAGCAGCGGTGGTAGCGAGTGGGAGCGCGCATCCTGCTAGAATTTTTCTCTGGTCTGCCAGTTTTTGAACAGAATGCGCCAGCGTAAAAAGCAGAAAGGTCGGGCGTCGGGGAAAAGAGCGACGCCGACGGAGACACCGACAATGAGCACGGGAGGCAAGTCGAGGCAAAAATACACAGGCCGATAACGTCCTATTGATTTTTCCGAAACGTTCGTTGAACCAATCACAGGGTTGGGACTATTTTTAAAGGGTGAGGTTGAGGTTGTTGTGGGGCTTTTCCTGGCAGTGGAGGTGTCTGTGCGCGACTACGTTTACATGTAAAGTATAGGCGAAGAAGTGTTTCGTTCCGAGCCTGTAGCTGCGGAGCTCGGTGGCGGCGCGACCGCCAAGGCCGATTCACTCCATCTCCGATGCAGGTGGCTACGCTGTTCCGCGAGTCCACTTCACTGTTGGGTGCTAGTATGGAAACGGGCGGTGGCGGTCCTACGGACTCCTCCATGTCCAACTTAGGACCCGGAGGACCCATCCCAATGGCCTACGATACTTACAACCACCCCGTCAGCTTCTCCAACAAATACAAGCTGTGAGTAGCATCACCCATACCACACCTCCTCCTACTCCTCATAATCTTCCTCATCTCAACAGTAAGTAAGAAAATAAAAGTTGCAAAAATAACAATTTCGATCGAACTAAAACCTCCCAGTAACACGTTTATCCTATTAGCGCAAATGTAAACATATACAGCATGTATGTGCTCGCACCTTATCAGGCTTTGCTTTATCTTCCTCGGCCAAAATAAAGTACACTCATGTATTATTATCTTTTATTTTACTTTTCTACTTCTTTCTTTATCGAAAAAGAAAACTGAATAATAAAATATTATATATACTTTACCTACTTTTGCGTACCCGAAAATACAGTGTTGCGGAATATAAAACGAAAAGTAAAGTAACCTAACTCCGAGAGAAAAAAGGCGAATAGAGAGTACAGGGCGTATGTGAGCGCCCGAAACCACAACTCAATCGATTACCAGCACGCATTAAAGCACAGAAAATAACAACAATTTACCATCCGTTAGCAGTTGCGGCTATTACCTCCGGGATAGGTTCGTCGCTTCCTATCGTAATTATCTAACCTTACATGTCACCTTTGAGTCATCCAATGCCGTTCCAAACCAAAATACTCCTAACGTGAAACTCCACCCACTCGATAGAGCGCTCAAATAAAATCCGATTTTCATTCATGGTTTCCGCCTATCTTTTTTGTTCTCCAGTAATATGAAGTTGGAACCCCAAGACGATGGTTATGAGACCAGCGCAGATATGCTCTTGTCGAACAACGCGATAAACCACGAGGTGAAGTGTGAGAAGATGGATGACCCCTACAGTTTCATCGATGATGACCCTATGCCGATGCTGCAGATGGCTCCTCAGCCGCAGCAACAGCAACAACAACAGCAGCAGCAGCAACAACAGCAACAAGCTGTTATGAATGCGAACTGCTTGGGTCCGATGGGACCGCAGGCCATCCACCAGATGCTTCCCGGACCAAAGAAGCGCGGCAGAAAGAAGAAGTTGAAAGAAGAGTATGTGGAGCGGGCGCGCGATCGCAGCAATTAAATCGTGTATTTTATATAGTGTTCTATTACAGGCCGGAATTCGTAAAGGACGTACACGGAATCCCCAGGCCGGTTAAGGAGCGGAAAAAGCATGACCGCTTCAACGGCATGCCCGAGGAGGAGGTGTCCAAGCGAACACTACCCGACCATCTCACAATGAATTTAGATATTATAATTGTATGTAACCAATGAAAAGTTTTCGATCTGTGTTTATTCTATCTACTATTTTTGTTTTGTTTTTTCAATTTAATTTGCAGATCGGTATAAATCCCGGATTGTTTGCGGCGTACAAGGGTCATCACTATGCTGGACCGGGCAATCATTTCTGGAAATGTCTTTATTTATCCGGACTGACACCGCAGCAGATGTCTGCCGACGAGGACTACAAGTTACTTCAAGTCGGCATCGGTTTTACGAACATGGTTTCACGAGCGACGAAGGGTAGTGCCGATTTAACGCGTAAAGAAATTAAAGAGGGTAGTCAAATACTGTTAGAAAAGTTACGGAAGTTTCGACCTAAAATCGCGGTTTTCAATGGTAAATTAATATATGAAGTGTTTTCTGGGAAGAAGGACTTTAAGTTTGGTAGACAGCCAGATGTTATCGAAGGCACGAATACAGTAAGAGAAAGTTCCTCTCCTTAGCGAGAGCTGATGATGCACGTGTGCGAGTGTACATCTTTTTTGCTTACATGTTCCGTTTGTTGTTTCAGTATATGTGGGTGATGCCGTCGTCGAGTGCGAGATGCGCGCAACTGCCAAGAGCTGCGGACAAAGTGCCATTTTACTCGGCTCTGAAGAAGTTTAGGGATTACTTGAACGGTATTGTAGCATCTATTGATGAGTCGGAAATGGTGTTTAGTGAGCCGAGAGTGAAGTCCTGCTACGAGGCCGAACCGAAACCGGATCCCTTCTCGTCAGAGCTTACAGACATTAGCAATGCTGTGATCAAGAACGAGGACGGTACTATAGTGCCGTGCAAGAAGAAGCGCGGCAGACCGAAGAAGGTGAAAGTGGAGGGCGAGGTGACGACCCCGAAGCCGGTGATCAGGAAACCCCCGATGCAAAATAACAATTGTGATTTCCCGAAAAAGAAACGAGGCCGGCCTAAAAAAATCAAGATGGATGAAACCGATTCACTGCTAGATACATCGACCAATTTATCAAAGTGTTTCTCTAGTCCATCACCAATCCAATCTCCGAACAGTTACTATCAGATGGGTCCGGCACTGACGCCTCCCAACAGTTCGAGCAATCTGTATCCACCTCAGCATCCGGCGGCGTATTGCCAGTCGCCTCGACCCCAATATAGTCAATCACCTCGACCTCAATACAGCCAATCGCCTCGGCCACATTCGCAACCTTTCACACACTCGGATCTTAGCTCGGAGATCAGCGCGGCCATCAGCTCTGAACAGCTTGGCTCTCCGGCGTCGCCCAGCTTAGGTCCGCCAGACTTTGATCCGCCCACGAGTATGGCCGAAGAAGCAGAGTGCCGGCTAGGCAGTCCCACGCCATCCTCCAACAGTGAACAACCTCATTATCCCTATCACACGTACTCTATGGAGGGGCCATCGGATCACCATCAGATCGCACAACATTACCCGTCGCCTAGACAGCCGCAGGACATGGCCTCCAAAAGTCTGTCCGGTTTGGAATCGCTAGTTGACCAGATTCCTAGTATAACCGAAGGCGAGACTCCGATGTGCGAGAATTCCGACCAGTACTCAAACCAATACAGCAACTATAATAGATCCAGCCCCGTGCCGTACAATTATTCTGGTGGTTCCGGCTACCCCATATATCCGACGCCCACCTGGAGTAGTCCTTACGAGCCGGTACCACTGCCGTATCCGCAAATACCTTACGGGCAGGGCTATGGCCCAGGTCTTCATGTACCCAGTCCCAATTATCCCTACTACAGCTATCCGCAACCGGCGCATCCGCCAGGCTATCCGCCATATCTGGGCGGCTTCTGATTGGTTTCCGTCACTGTGTATTCATGTTGTGTACCTGTACCATATGTTCAGCTAGTACCTAGCAAGTCTGTCCGCTTGAGTACAGTTGGTCACTTGCATTTCGACAACAGAGACTTGCACAGGGTAAATGGTGATATTTTTTTGTCATAAGTATTTTCTCTAAACTTTGAATGTTAGGTAGGCCAAGGGTTTCGTGCATTAATCGACATTCAGATCTCAAACTGTTTGTGTGCGTGTGCGTGTGTATGTCCAAGCTCTAAGTGTGTGTGGTTCATCGTTATAGCTGTAGTTCCATTCATTTAAACCAAAAAAAAAAGAAGAAAAAAGATAAAACCACAAAACATAATAATAATTATAATACTAATAATACGAAACATGTGTTATAGCTCTTCAATAACATTCTCTTCGTTCCTTATTCAATAAAAAGAAAGAAACTAATAATAAACGAAAGTAAAGTACACATACTTCCAGTCCCTTCGGAAACATGCGAGATTTTTTTGAAGATCCGTGCTCCAGCCCCTTTTTATCACATATCACAAGGAGATGAGTCAATTACGCCACACCCACCAAAGACATCGGTTTGACTGAGCTGATTTACTCTATCTCTTTTTAACTACTGACAGAGTAACTTTTTTATAGTGCAATACTCGTTTCGTTAACATTTTTTATATTGAATGTCTTCTTGTGTTCTTTTTTGAAGAAACAATATTATGTGTTATTTATATAACTGTTGTTTGAATACTCTGCTAGTTTTACATTCTACAAGAAATAAAAAAAAAATGAATAATACCAATGTTAAATTATCTTAAATTTTTGTACTTTAATCAGTATTAGCGTCTTTACAATAGAGGTTGAAATAAATAAAATAAAATATCTTGTTTTAGTTCGAAAAAAAATCTCTTATTTATAGTACAGGCCTTTTTTTATAATTCATTTCAGAAAACAAAGGATTAATCGAAAAATTAACAATAGAAAAATAAAAAGAAAACTATGTGATTTTAACCAAAAGATGTGAAAAGAAACCATAAAAATTAATTGAAATGTAAATCGTTAAAGCAAATCAAAATTCTATAAAACATTAAATTTGTTTCTTCTCGTCTCTTTTTTTTTAACATATATAAAATATAAATTATTCTTTATGAATTTACAATTATTTACAAAATAATTATTGTTTTATTTAGATAATGAATTGAAATGATTCTATGGACTATTTAAATAAAATATAAATACATTTATTCACAGGGTGTTCAATGTTTTTTTTTTTACCTCTTAACAAAAATACAATTCTAGGGCACTTCATCAACAACGACTCTCCTATATATATTAACAGTAACAAATTGTCAGCTCTATTGTTCTTGATTGTTTTATTGTTTTTTTTTTCAACCGTTAACCGATCTATTAATAAATATATTATTTATACACGTATCATACAATTATTTAAAATAAATAAATAAATCCACCTAAATTGAATTCGGCCAAGAATTATTATTTTTTTACTTCACCTATAAATAATAAGATTTACTTTACATTACATATACAAAGGAAAATGTCGAAAGTTATTTACACAACTCGTCGGATTATATAATCGGCATTTTACAAAAATAGAATTGAATTCGCTGCGAAATTTCATCAGATTTGCAAACTTGGCAAACGAGTGATGTTGGTTTGTCGTATGAAAGAATAGTATTTTTGTTTTACATTCAATGTATTTGTGATGGGACGCCGTTGTAAGCGACTAAACCCAATGGCATTATCTGCAAATATATATATGAATCAACAATTTGTTATCGCATCATTGAACATATAAATATAAATGTGTAAAGATATATATGTATATATAGTATTAACTTGGTGTTACAAAATTTGTACATAGTTTCAATATTTTAAAAAATGTGTAAATATTGCTTATAATATCCTCCAGTTTACTGAGTGCAATCAACGTTGAACACCTTATGTAGTTATGTCTGTTCCGAACAAAAAAAAAATATTGTTTTGAAAGAAGTTCTACCCTGAAGTGGATGCTCGATCCTAAAATTGTTTAAAAAACGCGAAACTTTGAAAACAATATTTTCCTTTCATCGCTATTGCGTAAGTCTACTTAAACACTAAATTATATAAAAAAATATATCTATTGTTTTGATAGATGGTATTTGGGAAAATGCTTGAAAATCATTGGATCTTGTAGACCGGCAACTAAAAACAACGCAATAAGTTAATTAGTGCTAACTTATGACGCCATAAGAATTAATTAAAATTGTAGTAAATTAATTATGACTATTTCCCTTGAGACTTTCCCAAATATCATATATGCATGTAAGTCGGAATCGAATCTTTATAGTAAATTTGAGGAACGTAGTCTTTCCAAATCTTGTTCTGCTCTGAGTGAATGTCTTTTAGTTAATGTATTGTATAGAAGTCTCATGAATTATGAACGTCTTTTTCTTGTTTTTTTTTGTTTGTTTGTTTGTTTTATTAATTAAATATAAATACTGTGTGTTTGACCTCTATATAGCGCATATAAAAATATATGTATATATAATATATATTTGAAATTTTGGTTAACAATAAATAATAACAACTACGCTTCTGAAAAAGATTTCGGAGTTTGAGGGGCTTGCGGAGTTTTGTTATTTTCACCTGAACTGAATTGAACATTTGGCGACGAACTCCTATCACGGCCATCCTGGTCCTCCAAAAACCTGTCCATAAAGTCTGTAAGGCCTGGATGTAACGCGTACTTCTTTTTCTCGAGTCGCGACTTGTTTGCGAATATGTCGTGTCGCTCAGACTTTTTCCAAAGGTAATAAAACTGCACCAACTCACCGACGGACCTTGTGCGCACCTAAAAATCACATATATCTTGTCAGAATAGGTTTATTTATTGATGGTCATGTGAGCTACCTTGTTCTGTTGGATCTGATGGAAGTTCTTACCAAACGACCGGACACCGGACTCAAAGTTCCGGCATTCTTCCTCTGACCACAGACTCATCGCGTCCGCGTTCGGCAAAGTGTTAATGCTAATACGCCGTATTGCTTCATCTACATTATGACCACATTGCTGAAGCAAGAACAAGGCTTGCTCGTCATCCCTAAGCTGTGATCCCATAGGTATGACGGACTTATTCACAACTGCTGCTTTCTTTAAGAAGTTTTCGATCACTAATCCGTTCAAAATGTTTGGGTTCCATAACAATTTATCCTCATTCTCATAAGGCAGCGCGTCGTCATAATGACATAGTCCTTCCGGTATTTGCGCTTGATAATCGCTTCCCACCATAATTGTCTGCAAAAAATGCCATTACCAAAGATTCTATGTAAGAAATAAACGAAATGAGGGTGAGTTGAACGATAGATGAATTGAAAAATGAGAATAACCTTATTAACCTTTCTCCATTCTTCTTCGTCGGGACTATAGTCATAATCCTCCTCTTCTTCTTCGCTAACTCGCGAGACAGCTATAAATCAACAGAATTAACACTTAATTATCGAACATTCAATTTGAGATTAGCTTTACTTACATCGCAACAGTCGTGATGCATCTTCGTGATCGGTAATAGGTTCATATAATACATGAAGGCCGGAAGGTTGCTCAGGTGGATCCGGCTCGCTCTCCTGCTCTTCCATCGGTTCCGGATCCACCTCATCCTCCTCCTCAATAGGACTTTCGTTTTCCTGATTTTCATTATGATACCCGTATAGTTTTAAGAGTTCCTCCAAAGGCATGTTACTCTCCTACAAAAATATTTGATGATACTGAATAAAAACAAATTTAATTTGATACATGTTGGAGTATTTAATTAATGATCCAGTATAATAAACTTTTAATAAACTTGGGTAGCATATATATATAATGAAATCTTAATATTCAACTTACCTTCTAAAAAAAAAACAAAATATAATTTAAACAACTTTCAAGCAAATGCAACTGTTGAGTGTGGCTTTGTAAGTAACAGACATTATTTAAATTGTATATAATTACTTAATGTATTGTATTACATTCTTTTCAAAATAATGGTCTTATTTATTTTGAATTATGTAGTAAATAAAAAAAAGATAACATTCCAATTAAATAAATGCTATATTCCAATAGGAATACACACATGAAAGGTTGTATATTTATAAGATTTCACATAGCAAATTTTAATAAATATATATACAATAGGCATTGTTGACATAAAGCTTATCCTATAGTATTTGCAGTTTCGAATCATATGTTCATATGTTCTTCATGCACTATGCTTGGGGGTAACTCTACAAACATGTTGCTTGCTGGCAGTTGAAAGCTCTACAAAAGTTTATATGAATAAAAGTAAATGAACCATGTTCAAGCATGGCTTCTGTAGAAGTATAAGGGACAAACCATAGCATTTGAGATCTTACTTTCTGCAGACTGGAAAGCTCTGCATTTGGGTCTTCAGATTCCCCAGCAGCAAGAGCTTCCTCCTCTTCGAGTGTTCTTTCATCGTCGAAATCATTCACTAGCATATCCACAGAGGGATCGAAGAGCTTGTCTTTGGAGGGCGAAGGCGCATCTTTTCCGTTTTCATTATTCACAGCAACAACGTCACCCATGTTACAAATAAACATACATAACTATCTAGTGATTTGGGCCAAATAAAATTCATCCAGTATAATCAAAATACAAAACTATAAACAATAACATTCGAACGGATGGAAAGTGAGGTTATAGTAGGTGTGAAATGAGCGCGATATTTCCTCGTACACTTCATCGGTATTTCGATGTATTATCTGCACCCCATGGTAGTATCCATGATGGTGTCGCGATTCGGACCGCGTCGCCGTCTTTAGAGCGCTCTGGCTTTCGTAATACGACGAAAAATTCTTTTTCTGTTGCAAGTACGCTTCGACAAAAACACATCTGAAAAACTGCAGCCATTACAATTTGCATCACGTGAACAATATGGCCACTCGCGACATGTTGCCAAGTCACATAAACAAAACTTACATCTAGTTCAAATTGTAGGTGAAGATATTTTCGTTACGCTCCTCCGGGTCGCCCTGTTTCTGCACGTAAACAGCACCCAAACATTTTACAACTACTCTTTGTTCAAAACAGAAATTGTAGTTCTAGGAAGCATGTATCCAACGAGGGAATTGGGAAATTCCATTACGGTTGTAAGGGTGCAGTTGAAAGTTATTGGTGTTCCATACGATCCTTTGCAACGGTAATGTTATTTAGAGTTGTATACCTAACATTCGCTTTGGCAACATTGCATCGAAGTTTGTTTGCAGGGATTTTGGTTGCTAGAATGCAAAGGTTGGTAGCAACGCGTGTGAACAGTTTGGCATTTTGTGATGTGAGATTTTTATTAAAACTTTTTATTATTATCTAAACCTTAATATTTAATAAATAATGAATGCCAATGGGTTCTCCAGATGATGGATACGGAGGTCTTCCGAAGTTAGTGTACGTGCAGACTACGACGACGCTGTGATTGACTGTGTGCGTCTCTTGGTTATAACCCATAAGATGAAAATAAAAACTGCAGGAATGCAAATAAAAACATTAGAACATATGTGATGAGAAACATTATATTTCGATATTTAAACGATACGAGAGCTCGGAGTAATGATTTTCAGTGAACACAAACGGCTGGCGGCGCGAATGTTATCATGCTAACTGTTTTCATGACTAGTGGTGGCTGGTGTTAATTTAAAAGATGATCAAGGAAAAGCACGAGAAAGGATCAGATGGTGTCAAAGAAGAGCCGGGCAGCTCTGATAAGGATTCCCCCAGCTCAGATGTCCGTGTGAAGAAGGAGGATGACCCAACTAGTAGTAATGTTAATGTGAAAAAGGAATCAGGTAGGCCGGTGACCAAGAATGGTGGTGTTATTGGCTCAACTAATTTGGGCTCATTGCATGGCTGCACTGAATTAAAAACAGAAACTGAGGATACCCCATCAACAACTGACACCTCGAATGCTGCACTCAAAGAGGAAATAGATCCCGATATACCCCGAGGTGCCTTCTCATTGAATCTGCCTTCTAGTGCTCCAGTGCAGCCACCGGATGGGGTTCAGCCATTGGCCAGCAATGTTATAAACAAACAACCTAGTAGCATGGAAGTGCAATATATGCAGCAGCAGAGTCAAATATTTGTCTTCTCAACAGTGCTGGCAAATTCTGGTGCTGAAGAAGTTATACATGGCCGGTTCCCTTCAATAATTGCATACCATTGTGCCCAACCTGGAACAAAGAAATATCTTGAGAAAAACCCCCTTAAAATTACACAATTCAATAGACAGAATCCTGCACAGTGGCTTAATAGTGTAATGAAGAATAACTGCAAGCGTAGTCCTGGCATTGGACCGAAAAGTCAGCCTTCACTGGATAACTTTTTGGGCCCAGAAGGTTTGGAGGACATGGTTGGTCTTGGAGATGGTGATATGCCATGGGATCAGAAGAACAATCATCAACTGGAAAGTTTAGACAGTGTCAGTAATGGATTACCAGATGTCCCAGACATGGACTCCTGCAGTCCATCACTTGCAAATGTGCAACCCTCATTGCAGGGTGTTAAAGTGCCTGATAAAGATCTTACTCCTCAACAAAGACAGCACCGTGAAGTACAGCTGTCAACCCTGAGAAAAATGCAAGAGATGTTGTTTCCTGAAGCAACAAACAGTAACCCAACAGGTACACCAACAAGTGGAGCACCAACAACTGGTCCTCCACCAGTGAGTGAGCCAATAGACATGCCCTCAACAATGATTTCTGGGAGCCAAGCTCAGTCCAACATGCCAGGACCAGGGCCTCAAAACCCTGGTAATATGATGCATTCAAATATGGACTGGCCTAAGATGCAACAGAACTACTTTGACAAAGGAAAGCCGATTCCTAGGGCTGCAACAGCAACAGGACCTCGCCTTCAAGGCCCGCCTCCACCATATCATCAAACTCCTAGATCCGCTAGTGTTCCAATAGCGTTACAAAGCCCAAGTCCCGCATCACCGAACAACCCCACTTCAAACTTATCATTGCCGTCACCAAGGGCTTCATCCGCATTGAATTCACCCGCTGACTCTAACAGGCCATTCGGACTTAATAGACATATGAGCACAGGGCAAAGTCCCACTTCACAAGACTCTCCATCACGTCACAATCACAGTAATCCTGGCACCCCAGTTTCATCACATTTATCCCCTAGCGTAACCACAAGTACTTCAGAAACAACTACTCATGCAAGGCCAGGTAATTTAGTTTGATCTTTAATATTTATTACTTTAAGATTTCGCTAACCCCGTATTCAATTTCAGGTGACAACTTATTTACTAGAACCCTCCAATCCATAGCAAAGGAAATGATGACTACAAACCCATCTGCTCCCACCAGCGTCGCTAATACTGCTTCTAAAGAACCTAATCTCATGCCAGTTCCATCTCCACAGCAGATACAATATTTAAATACTTTTGAAGGCCAAGAATTAATAATACAGAAGCAACCAAATACAAGTTTAAATAAAGAAGGGAACATGATTTCACCACCGTAAGTAATTTCGAAATAGTATTATCGTTTTATATGTATACCTCATTTCCAGTGTTTTACCGACAACTATGGACAGTGGTTTCCCGGGGAATTCAGATATGGCTCATAACAGAGTGTCCGGTCCAAATACACCAACGTCTATTGATGTAGGTCCGAGATTTCCAGGAACACCTTCCGATGGCTGCAGATTTCAAGTACCGAGCCCTCATACTCCTACAGCTCAAGGTATGTAACTTTTGACCTAGTTATTTTCATTATTTTATAAGAGTTTTTTCGATTTTCAGGAGATAAACCTTCGAGGCTGAGTGGATCTGGTCCAGGACTAAGTCCGCAGACGTCGGGACCACCATTGAATGATCCAGTAAAAAGCGAAATGTACCCATCACCCACACCACACATGATGGACGTGACTAGGTTCCCTGGGCCGAGTGCATCTCCCGGTACGAAAATGGGCAATTTTGTGAACGTGTCGCCGTCAGGAAAGAGCCCTCTGGACATGCCGAACTATGGCTGTGGGCGCGGTGACAACGTGCCACTAAATCCAAATTGCACAAGTACAATGTCGGGAAATCCAAAAGTCTCACATTTCGATCCGATTTCTTCGCTTGCTCAAATGAGTCAACAGTTAACAAATAGCGTGGCTAGTTCCTTGAATGGGCAAGGAAATCCAGGATCTGGTATGATGAATTTTGGATCCCCGTCAATGCATATGATGGATATGGGTGGCTGTCATGGAATGGGTGACATGGACCAGGCCTCTGGTATGATGGGAATACCAATGCAGGGTCCTCCTCACGGTTTTCATGCCAATTCCCCGATGGGCCCGTTACGCTCTCTATCTCCAAAATTGCAAGGTGCCTTTCCTAATCATATGCCAATGCCTCGAATGATGGGTCGTCCGCCTGGTCCAAACCCATACAACGGCGCTAATGTTCAAGTGAAACCGAATGCTCCAAACACAATCCAGTATATGCCTGCGAAATCACAAGTTGGGAACGCTCCAGGTCCCAGAGGTCCACCTAGTCTCGAATTTTTGCGATTTACAAGCCCTCTATCCAACATCGATAACAAGATGCCATCACAAAATCTACAATACTTTCCGAATTGCGGCCCGAATAGTGGACCAATGGCAGGACCAGGCGGTCCAATGTCGGGTCATATGGGACACATGGATGGACCTCCCATGCAGGACGGTCCTATGGGTGTCGGTCCAATGATGGGTGCTCCAATGGGTAACGGTCCAGGGCCGATGATGGGACCTTCCATGGGAATGCCCGGAGGCATGATGCCCATGATGAGACCCATGCGACCTCCACCTGGTATGATTCGAATGCCGCAAATGGGATTTAATGGTCCCCCAAATAACGGAGGTCCCGGAGGAGATGGTATGTTTAATCCTGGTCCACCTAACATGCCAAATCCCAATTCTCAAATGTTTGTAAGCGGATCTAAAGGGAGCCCCATGGGCATGGGTGCTCCCGATGCAAGCCAACCCTTGCCGCCCTCAATGGGTCAGAGTAATAGCTTTAAAAATTCCCCATTCGTAGGACCCACAACGGCTGACCCAAATTACGCACAACAGTTCCACAATTTCCAGCAGCAACTTTATGCGACGACAACTCGCAGTCAAATGGGAGGACAGGCTATGGGTCCAGGTCCAGGACCTCCGCACACTCAACAGCCACCCTATTATAATCCAAAATAACCGAACCTAACATTAACGTTGTGGTGCTGACTTAATAACTATAACTTAAGTTAATATGTTGACAATGCTGATTGATGACTATGATGATGATAATGATGTTGAGTGGAGTGCGTGTTAGTTGCAGAGAATTTTGTTTTATTTTTGATATTACTAATGAAGTAACCTGGCAATAATATGATGTGAACTATATTACTTTGTATATTATCTTGTCTGTTGATGATAAAATGAAATGAAAAAAAAGATGAACACATCGTATCGCATCGAATCCAAGTGCAGTTAAGGGTTGGCATCCACTGTTCATGTACAAAGCTGCCGGCCCTACGTGGGCAATATATATATATATAATTATGCCTGAATACGTGACGCTATTCTGGAATTGTGTACATTTGCCATAAAGACAATTTTTAAGTTTTATTTTACATATTATTATTATGTTGGACTCTGTTTTATTAATATATTATTTTATTAACTATTAGAATCAGACCCTATTGGTTCATATTGAGGTTTCACTATTGCTCATTTAAGTTTATTTCTATCCATCTGTTAATCATATTTCTGTAAGTTTATGAGTATTCATGAATGAAATGATAACAATAAAATTCTATATTAATTATATATCTATTCCCTTTACTCTAATCTCCATATTATGTTAACCAATTTCCCCCTATTTTTTGTTGCATTCAAACTGACCCTTTTTCCTTTTACTCACGGTGAGGGCGCTGCTGTTCCGAATTATTGATTTTTGAATTTTCATAGTACTGCCTTTAATAAAGTCTGTATGCGTGTGGTGAAGACGTCCAGTGTGTTTTGAACCATGGCAGATGTGCCTTCCTCAAGGAAAATGAAGAAAATTGAGGAAGAAGAGAAAGATGCTGATGAACATACACAATCTTATTTGGAAGAAGCAAGCATGGTGCAAAAGGATTTGGAAAATGTTGCAAAGTGTATGATGAACAAAATATTAACAGTAGTACAAGAATTTGATGGTCTTAAAAGGCCATTGTATAACAAAAGGCATAGTGCTCTTAGTTCAGTACCTCATTTTTGGGCAATAGCAGTATCCTTTATAAATTATATATTAATTAATCAACTAATATATGTATATTATATTCCTATTATATTTATAGTTTATGAACCACCCAAAGTTGAAGTTACTTGTGGATACCTCAGTTGAGGATTGCTTCAACTACTTATCATATGTTCAAGTTTTAGATAATGAGAATTTAAGGACTGGATATCAAGTGGTGTTTGCATTTCATTCTAATCCCTACTTTTATAACACTGAATTAATAAAACATAATTCCTATGATAATGGTGTTGTATCATCAAGGAATACAAACATTGAATGGAAAGAAAATATGAATTTAAGTACAGACAGAAAAAGGAATGGGAAAAAAAGAAGTCCACCAGTAGAGAATTTCTTTGACTGGCTACAAAGTTGTAACAGCAACAAACATGACATTGTATGTGATATTATAAAGGATGACCTTTGGGCAGATCCATTGAAGTACTTCTTTCTGCCTGATGATAACTGTGAGGATAATTCAGAATCAGAGAGTGAGGATGATGATTATGATGACCTGCTGGATAGTAACGATGAAGAGAGCCATGATGAGGAGACAACAGAGAGTGAAGACAATAGAAAACAAAATAATGTAGATTAAATATATTTATTTAAATATGATTTTATTTATGGCACACATACAAATTATCAATATATTACTTTAACTTAATTTTTGATTTTTTCTTAATTTCCTTGATTTCATTTAGAACTAATGCTACATTAAATCTGAGTTTATGGAATGTTGGTATATCTAATCTAAATGTTATAGCTTTTGTATTAAATTGGTTTACATTAATCAACACTGCATTCACTTTGGGTACACTGAGGTCAACACGCCAATTATATGTGCAAGGTATACAATATTCATCCAAACATGCAATGTTCTCCTTAAAGAGATTGAGGAAGCTTTCTGGTGGTTCGATGTGATGTATGGTCTGAAAGAATTCTTCTTTGCTTAGTTTCTTTTGCAACAAATTCAATTCAATTATAGTGGTAACAATTTCTTCATTCTCTTTCCTTGTAAACTTCAAGAAATTGGGAACCTCTTCAAAGTTCCGCCCTAAAAGCAGTATAACTAAAATAATTAATAAGCATTAAAACTGTTAATTACATTTTATCAATTTCCTTTGGTCCTCTTCTGGAAGAGATATGATTTTATTAAAAACTTCTTTTCTATACATTTCAATATCAATACACAACAATAGACAGCTGTAACTGGGTGTAAGGTTACTAGGATTTGGGAACTATATTTCTTTTGTAGTGTTGGTAAGACTTGTTATGATTCAATTTTAAATATATTTGATTATATTAATGATGATTACTACTATTTAATTAATAATTTTATTATGAAAAAGCAAGAGCTTTTAAAATTATAGTAGTAGCAATAAAATTTACTTATATGATGTATGTTTATTTTGTAATAAAATCCAATAAATATTTAAATAATGTTTACAAAATTATATAATGTTAAAGTATTTCGGCTTCTAGTATTGTAGACTCTGAGCAGATCGCTTGTAAAGACTGCGAGCTAATGAAAACGCCCTTCTTTGTTTCGTTGATATCAGACCAGGATACCGAGCTCAAGGAGTAAACTGCACTTCGAATGCTCATTAATGAATCATTTGGCGTATCTTCGTTAAAGAAGTTAAGAAGTAGATGGCTTTCTGTAGAATGCTTCTTATCGCCAGTGAGCCATGCCCAAATTCGCATATTACCGAAACGACCCTTGATCATACTAAAAAATGGTTGATGCTAATTTATAAAATTAAAAATAGAAGAGTAATTTACTTTTCATGATTAATCTTCAGGAAGAACAATTGATCGTTGATGGATATCAAATAAGTGCCTCCTGTTGGAATTTGCGATAGGAGTAATCGCATTTTGTTATTGAAATATTGAGTCAGAGGTCCTGAGTGGTTATTTTTAAAATGATTTATAATGTCCGCTCCTGAAGATAATATTCATTAATTAATATATTTCATTTGTAAATTGCAGAATACCTTTGATTAAGCAGGTACAGTATTTTTCGTAAGGGCAGTGGTACAGAATGCCTTCTTGAGGGTTTGCTGAGATCATTGAGATGTCGGGGACGTGGAGGGTTTCAAATGAGCCATGGTATGAACCAGGACGAGGTTTGTGCGTACGGTGGATGCTGTTTATTGACCCCGTCCTAGCGATGGATGAACTGTCTGGGTTGAATATCTCGCTGGATGAAAGTGATTTCGCTTTCATGTTGGAAGCGAATTGACCATCGGAGAGTAATTGTTGGGCTTGCGGATGTTTGCTGGACAGGTTGTCCACCGAGGACGCCTTGCCGATCAGTCTGGCCAAGAATTTATTGGTATGGGCTTGCGTGATTTTAATGCTCGGCGGTGCTTTCTTGGATTTGATCTTGAAAATCTGCTGCATCTTTGCTGAGCGTGCTTCGTGCGTATCCTCACGTAGATCGAATGCATCCGTGAAGGCGTTGTACACCTACGAATAGTTTAATTATGATACCTAACGAGTTTTTAAGTATATTCGTAGAAAGTTTTGAGCGTAGCGGACGAGCGCAAATACCTGATCGGCAAGTAAAGATCTTCCACTGGTGAACCGAACTCTACAAACCGGACATCTTTCACTTTTCGCCCTGCAGCGCATACAAATCAGGTGCCCATTGTCGCACTGATAAGTAGGTGGAATCGCAGTGTCCAGACATACTGGGCATTCCAAAAACGTTAGGACCGAGGATAGGCATGCCGACAGTTTTTGGAGATTGTTTGGCATAGGACCGCAACAGAGCGTCTGAAATAAAAGTCAATTACCAAAGCCTTAATTTTCACACCAGTTTCGTTTTTTTTTGTTATTGTCTTTTATCACACTCACATCCGCCGAACAATTGGCTCCGACCCCCGCATTCCAAAGCAACAGAGACACCTGACCTGGATGCGACCTTACCAGTTGACCTACATCCGAGACCCTTTGACCCACAATATCCTCTCCGTTCACTTCAAGTACACAATCACCAGCCCTCATCCCGGCACTGTACGCGGCCGATCCCACATCCACCCCGCTTATCCAAGGATACGGATCCCATTTGCCTCTTGTCAGATGAAACCCGCAACTTCCGGTTTCCGGTTTCTCTATCTCTAGCAGCCTAACGGACGGACTGAAGTGATCCTCGGTATCTGCGTCCGACAACATTTTACGCGCTTCTGAGTAGTCGCCGCGACGAAACCATAAGCGCAACCTTTCGAAACTTTCATCTCGATTTTCAATACTACAACCAAGGTTTCTACCGACTCGTCCAACCTTCACATACAATATTTGAAAAAAAAAAAAAGAAATAAATAAAGAAGGATAGAGACAACATCCAATGAAGAAGAAATAGAAGAAATCATTACGTAGAAAATTCCTTGTTTGATTGCCTATTATAACTTTGCGAATGCTATGTATCTTGTGCGTTGCAATTTTAACAGTTTTAGCGCGTGCTTCGCAATGAAATAAATATACAGGAATGGTGTAAATAAAATATAAATAACACAAGAAAACATGTCCATACATCAAGGATACAAGTATTTCGATCGATTTCAAATTTGAAAGACGTTTCATTCTTATCAAGGATATTTCATTCGTAACCCAACTAGATTTTAAATAATCTAATTTTAATCGTCATCAGCATTTAATTTAATTGTTAACTAATACAAATATTTTTTTTTATATACGTGCTTAATAATAGTTTTTCATATTATATAACGATATATTTGTCAAATTAAGTAAATCGTCGAGTGTATGTATTTCCATCAACCAGCGGTTAAAAACGTTTAAAGCGCACAACGGGTCAGAATAATATTTGTTGATAGCAAGTGCTTTATCGGAATTCGTGTCGTTAGTGACTACAAGACTGCTTTATTGCAGGATTGTTCTAAACAAAAATATAACAATTAGTTTTGTTTTCAGTTTGCAACGCATTTCACTAAATAATGATTTTTTTTATTGTGAATGATCTAATACCACAATATGCTTTGTTAGCTTATCACAAATTCTAATAATTATTAGTTTGATGAATAAATAAAAAAATCATTCATTAGATGTTTTATTACCAGATTGTAGGAAAATCCATTATTTTGGATAAAAACAGAAAAATACTTTGTTATATACAAACTCGCATTAACATTAATTCTTATTGAAAACGTAAAAACAATTTAATTTAAATAATGTTTTCACCAGCTAAAGGTTTTGATCGCAATACAGTATACACAGTCCGTATATTTCCAACTAAACTATTTTTATATAATTATCAATAACATGATTATATATATATTTTAATATTGATTTAAAAAACCGGTATTTATGCATAACAAATCCTAATTCAATTTAACCTCGTACAATCTAAAATTTCAAAATGACTGTGAATAATTGATTTCTTGTTATATTTAACGTTTTTGGCAATACAAATGCGATTTAATAAATATATTTCTTGGATTTTTTTCCAATGATATTGAATTGCAATAATCTCATGAAAATAATGTTATGGAATTAATGCAATAAGCAGCGGAAAATTTCCAGATTGTTTATAACAAACAAACATAAAAACAACTTTGGTTAGTATATTGTTTCTCGTATATTGTGCGAGCGTTTAAATGGAAATCGTAATTGGTTTTTAATGAATTCATCGAGCGATTCGGGATTTCCTGAACGGTCGCGGTATGATGAAATCAGGCGTTGAACATTTTCGATTTTACTTTGTGAACTAACTGTAGGATTCCGAAAAAAAAAGCGCGTGCGAAGAGTTACGAAGGTCGTTCGCACTTATTTCTTATTTAATTTCAGTTTTCTCCTTCACCTGATTTCAGCGTCGTGCAAAGCAAAATTCAAGTAAATCGTGTGTTTTATAATAATTTATTTATTTTCTAATAATATAAATATATCCTTTTATTTGTAGTATAACATAGTCAACGCTTATATATTAATGTGTGTGTATATAGGTATGTGTATATAGCACTTAAAGATGTATTTCTAATTGGAAAACTATAGCTAGAAAAATAAACAATTTTCTAATCACTCGATAACGTAACACCTCTTCGTTATTACTGATATTTTAATTATTTGTTTTCTGTTGTTAGGCGTGATACTTATTTTTGTTGTAATTCCCTCTACGAAGGACACTGAGACGCCGTATTTTTAGAGTTTCTGTATGATGTCGAATTTCTTTTTGAAATCCATGGTTTCCTTCTTTGGGTCGAACTTCTTTCTGGCGGCCAACTTGGCCCGCAGCTCGGCTGCCGTCATGTTCAGATTTAGAGTGCCGTTCTCGTTGGACTCCTTTGAGGATTTGTCCGTCGCGTTCTTAGCAATGTCCGGGATGATGTTGTTAACCGGACTATCCTCGTCGGGATCGATCACGAGGAGTTTAGTCTCTCCTTGAACGGCTTTGATGAGCTCGACGACCTGCTTGTGGGTCTTGTTGGAGATGTTCTCGCCGTTCACTTCGATGATGCGGTCACCTTGCCGCAGACCTGCAGACTCCGCTGGCGACTTGGCATCCACCTTACCGATGAACTGGCCGGGCTTGCTCTTTTCCGCGTGCAGGTCGAAGCCGTAGCCATCGAAGTTGTCCCACTTCATGATATGGCACAGGCGGGCATTCGTTTTCTTCGAATCCATCTCTTCCGCCTCGACGATGAGCTGATGTTGATCCTTGTTCTTATCCAAATATCCAACAGATGTGAATACTTCTTTTTCTTCTTCTTCGACTCGTTACTTTTCACAATAGGAAAGTTGGAAACATTTCGCGGCGGGACTGTCGTGTGTGCTGGTTATGCAGCGTTAGCTGGCGATTGAACCGGTCGCGATCAGTTCTCTTCACTAGAATGTGGTACTACTGGTACTGGTTTGGTACTCGAGCCGCGAGCTTAGCTCAGCAGCGCTCGTTGGAAGTGGTAAAAATGACTCAACTCTCTACCTGCATTCGAACACTACGCATTTTACAATAGCAACAACTTCATTTCACTCTCACATTATTTACTACTCCTTACAGGGAAAAAATTCGAAAAATCATCCTCAGATAAACCTATCTATGATAATAGCGCAGATAAGCGATGCACCACTTTCAACACAGAAAACTGCACAGAACGTTCATTCAAAATAATATCAATTTCATTCATTTCCGGTATTAACATCTTGTAACTCTTATCTCCAAAATTATGTCATAGACTTCTACATCAAATTTAAATAATATTAAAGAAAATTCATTAATTTTATTTTTCTTTCCTTCAATTTGAGTGTTCAATATCTTTTCTAACTATATTGGACGAGTAATAAGCAAAATATAAATTTTGTTATTATTACTACTTTTTATTTACTCTAAAACGAATATTAATATCTAAAATAATTCAACAAATCTCTTTTATGATTAAAATAACAGCGATGAAGATTATCATAGCAACGGTATTGTTTTCATAGCAACGTTCAGTTTCCATGGAAACCGCGTTCTTCGCCGAGTTAATATTCTGCAGCGATGCATTCCTCCGCAGGTTATAGCACCAATGGAACCTCTTCAACTCGACTCGACCGTAATTAGCACTGAATAAAAGGTGAGAATGAAAGAATTCCATTGCCAGAAAGTTAAAGCTCGTTCTTCACGGCGGTAATTTCGTGCACGCATAATGCGAGATAATCACCGGTCTTCGCGATGGATTATGTAAATGCGTTTCTCTGTTGTTCATTTGTTTTGTTGTTTGCAATTGGTATATTTCCGGTCGCATATTCAATGTTCCCACATTTATAGTTAGATGCATCGCAAACAATAACAATTTATGTTTCATATGCGCCTTTTACATTTTCAATGAAAAATTTGCAAATTACAGCGCGATTATGTCACGCTACATATGGAACAAATCAATGATGTATTCTGTTTATATAATATACATGTATTAAATGATAGAAAAAAGAAGTAGTCTAAATTACATTTGCATGAATTCGCTCCAGTTTTTGTCACTGGCGCATCGTTTGTGAGTGATTAAGAGGAAGTCAACATGTGTGCATAATCTACAGATGGAAATGGCATAATCGAAGGTTTAGCGGTGGATGGAATCGTAACTAATTAAAATCAAATTTCACGATGAATCCAGACGAAATCACTCGTACAATAAGCATCTAAAATTATACGTGCATAATCGTGGGTAAATGAGGAGGGAGATGGAGTGTGAGTAAGAGAAAACAAAAGACACCAGGATTACGTCAAGAATGGAACTCTTGGGATTCCGTGATTCCTAGAGTTAATGAGTACACGCTATTGCGGCAATATGAAATCATATATATATATATATATTTATATACACATATCTGTATATATTTATATAAATATGCATATCTATATGTATTTATATACAAATGCATGCGAATTAGTGAAGGTCGCAGCAAGGTCTAAGTTTTTCCCGTGGAAGAATTAGTTGGACAAATAACGTTCTCATCTCCAGTTTGCATATCATTAGAGAGTATTACATGAGGTATACAGGTCGTCGGAGCAAAATCGAGATCGGTATTGATGGGTCTTCAATCGATTCGACCTTCCGTGTTTCGTTCCCGTCCGATGATTCCCAGGTGTTAATTGCCAATTGAAGGCAATTACGATAAGCGAAGTTCGTAAGAGAAATTTAGACTTTTCGTCCGTGCACAACAATTGTTGACTACAAAACGGGTAATTTGATTAACGAGACCTTGCCGTGCACCTCGTGAGGCTACGGTGTCATCATGTTTTCTTCTATACGTTTTCTATTATTTTTTTTTTGTATATATGTGTTTATTTGTTTTCGTGTTTCCTTCTACTACTTTCGATTGCATATTGGCTTGGCTTCTGTTTGGTCATTATTATTTTTTCCTTCTCTTTTCCCATTCCTGGGCAACCTTCGACAAGGTCGCATCGACTGTGTAAACAGTTCTATAGAATAATGCACTCATTTGAATAGCAGAAGTTAACCACTGAATCAGATGTGTTAATTCTATTGGAATCCGATGTCGATAATATTTCGAACGCGTTTCAACAAAAAAAAATGTTGTTAACGAATTGCAGCTTATATCGTCCGCATTCCGAAGGCCATGTTGCTAAATTCAAATCAACCGAAACACGTCTGCAAGTTCAAAATAACACGTCAAATCAATAATTGATTTTTTTTTTAATAACCAAAATGCATGACTATTTTATCAACTGTTGCCCTATGCAACGTGAAAAAAATGACAATACTGGACATATTTTGCAACACGTTCAGATGGAAGTGTTCAATTTGTCAAAATTGAGTAAAGATATAAAAAATTGCTTGCGTAAAACAATAGAAAAAAAACAAGCAATTATATTTTCTGGAGTGTGATTTTAATGATGTTTTGTTTACGTTTATTTATAGAAAAACCGCAATGATATTCATGCGCATTATCCTTGGAAAATCTTTATCAAACAGTTTCGCGAAACTGGGCCAAAGCCATGTAAATATTTATTAAACTGATATGCAGTATTACCTTAAAGACTTTATCATAAATTGCATCTAATTAATGACTTCATTCAAATAGAAATAATTATACAAAAAAAAATTCAATTTAATAACTTTCATTCAAATCTCTTAATAATTATAAATAATTTGTTTTGTCTATAAAAAAATAACAACAAATTTCGAGGACAAATCCAATTTTAATTATATGGATATTAATAAAAATGTAATGGACAGGTAAGAAAAGTGAAATAAAACAAATAAATTTTAATAACATTAAGGTGGAAATGCATTTTTTTTCTTTTTATATATATTTCTTTTATACAAAGACAACAATTCAAATACACAGCCTATATAATAGAATATTAATAACAAAAATAATACCATTTAAAACAAATAAACATTATAGATGAAAACAATAATAAAAAAAAATATATCTACAACATTTACTATGTTGTAAATCAAGACTAATACTATTTTCAATGGGATTTCGTTCCTGAGGAATCAAAACAATTTTGTAATAATAGTAATATAATATATAGATACTTATATTAAAAATAATTCAATCTGTTTGTACCATCTCAGGTACTTCAATTTTGGTCTTTCTTCAATTCCGTAAGGGCGGTGTGAATGCGGAAGTGAAGACGAGATTCCAACGAGTATCCGGAATAGTTCCTCCTATAAAATAATTCATTGTAATTTAATCGTGGATTGCGTATATCAATAACATACTTAGCATCCTCTAAGGCTAAAATCGCTTTCTCCTTGTTGTCTGCGTCCCATTCCAAAAGAGCCAATTCTACTATAGCGTAAGGGACGATATAGGTGTCATCGATGATCTCTTTTTGTAGTGAGATAGCTGCCTCGAAGCACTCCATTGCTTGAAGAGGACTTGCCATCTGCTTTAGGCAAGCTCCCTTCAAAAGCAACAGCATAGCGCGATTGTCATTATCGTACTTGTTCAGTGGTACTGAATAGGTTAAGTTCCTCAAGGCATTCTCAATGAGTCTCAGTATGTTTTCGGCGACTTTAAAGTTTTTCTTAAGGACCTTGAACATGTTCCAGACGTACATCAGTTCGATGATTGGTAATATCAAAGTATCTTTTTGGTTAAAGAACCTCTCGGACTTTTTGATAACGAACTTCTCCATAGGCAAAGACTTTCCTGCAATGCGCTGTTTATATTTTGGGACATCTCTGAAAATACATCTTATATAAGAGAAGAAACAAAAAATGGAGTTCAGTAACATACTTCATCAGGTTTTGCAAGATGCCTAATTGGGATTTGTTTAAGGTCTGGTCTTCGTTTTGCATCAACATAATTGCTGCTTTTTGATAGCTGTAAACCGTTCTGGACCACCTGCTGCCTTCAAGTAAATAATTCGCATACAACGTCGCCTCTGCCCAATCCGTTTTCAAACTATAAATAAATCGATCAGGACACCTGTTAAGAGTAAATTGAAAGTTTTACCAGTTGACCCAGAGCAATTCCCAGAAGCAAAAGTGATGGAATTGCGGCCACATCTCCTGAGATTTCCAGGATTTCTTATACCACTCCAAGCTGGAGTTTAAATTACCCTTCATAAACTCTAGTCGCCCTTTAAAGAAAAGAAACCAGACTCCTTGAGGGTACTTTTTGAATTGTCCGACAAGTATCTCTTCGCACAACTTAAGATCACCTTCCTGGTGACTTAGAACGTATAAAACGATCAAGTGATAACCCAATAAGGTCATGACGCATAATATTTGCCTCAATCCTTGCATGTTATACCCAGCCAACAGATCATTTATACCGACGGTCTATAAAAAAAAAACTTTAAACAATTAATACAAAAAAAAAGATGAACTGCGCACTTTATTTCCAGAAAATCCTATAAACTCCAATAGTTTGATTACGCGTGACGGAAGCATGGATATCATCAAATTAAAAGTACCGATACCCATTTTGACGCCACTCTCGAAGTGCACTTTGGACGTGTCCTTGGACCAGTCATGCTTTTTTAATATTTGCTGACAATCTCTGCAATTAAATGAAAATAGAATCTAGCCACGATTGTTTTATTCCTGCTCTGTTACTTGTAAGAGTTGTAGCAAGATCTAATCTTAATGCCGGCCTTGATGAAACTGCTCAATGTTTCGTCTTCGAGGAAGGTAAGCATGGATTTCAAGAGTAGGCATTCCGCGTGGCAGAGTTCCGCATGAGCTTCTACTTCAGTGTACTGCTCAAAGTTTGGTTTCTTCACCATCTTTCCGAGAGACTCGCCGATGGTATTCTTTTTCCTGTACCTGTTGCAAACCGCCAGAGAATGTTTCAGTGCTTCACCTGCACCAACCAATTGTTTGTGCTCGAATGTCAGCATTGCTTCGAGAAATGTAAAAACCGCATTTCCGAGGGCATGGTACATGCTTACGTTAGACCTACAAGGGGAGATGTTATAATGGATGAAGCGCGTAAATAATTATTGTTACCATGGCTTCATGAGATTTTTAGCTTCCGCGAAATTGTTGTTGAAGAAGAAATTGATAGCTTGCTGGGCCTCCTCAACAGCCTTGTTAAGGCTCATATCCGAAGGCCTAAATAATAACAAAAAATATTATATTTAATACAAATTTATACAAAACATAATTTAATTTTTTTTTCTAGTAAAATTGATCCGTGTGCTTACATTTCAATAGCATCTTCGAACTGCAACAAAATCGAAAATTACAATTAATTAAGTAAATATTTCCACTAGTAAAAGGTTCATTTCAAGATCTAATATCTAGTTTTTGAGTACAAACATTAGTTTTTTCAATAATTTCAGAACTGTGGTTTAAATATAATAATTTATAAATACACTGGTATCAATTATCAACTTATATCAATATCTCAGATAAATTGTATTTATTTAAAAATGAATACAATAAGAGAATGAGCAATTGAAAAATATATGTGCCGTGGAACATAAAAAGTAAACAATAATAATGTGAGATCGACGTATTCAACGAAAAGCAATTGAATTTAATTAAATTGGATTCGTACGAGTTGGAGAAAACGCAGGAAAAGCCCAATAAACGTCTCAGAAAATTGATGGTTTATTATGAATAAGAAAGCTAGATGGTTTGCCCATTACGAAAATCTTTTTATTTCTGCTAAGAATAAAACCGCGGATTATACCGTGAATAAGAAAGTACCATTAATATTTCTTTGTTCAAAATAAATAAGAAAGTACATTGAATCTTTCTTCAAAACATAAAATATTGAAGTTAATGATGATTTTGTAACTTGAATCAAACTTAAATAAAATTAGATTATTTTAAATTTTCAATAATATTAACTGTCTCGAATCAATCACATCATTTTTTTAAGTAAACAGTAGATAAAATAATGAAATGTTTTAAATGTTTGTAATTTTGAGATATAAATAAATTTATATGTTCTTCTAATGGATATAATTTATATTCATTTATTCATTGTCGCAACAAGTGGAAATGGACAACAATATACAAAGTGGATACAAAGTTCTCAATCATTTATTTGCATTCAAAATGCATATAGAAAAATTAAGATTTATATGAGTTTTAGAAAGTCGCGAGAAGATCTCTCTGCGAGAGATAATATTTTTGACATTATTGTTACTCTTCAATTTGCAGGGGAAAGTGCGGCTGAGAAACTAGTTTGCTTTTCTGGTAAAGTAAAAAAAAATGTAAAGATTCTGAATAAAAGAGCTTACCTCGTCATAATCATCTTCGTCGAAGTCGACCGCATTTTCCCCCAGGTTACTCATGTTGTCCGTTAAAGTCACTACAACAAACAGAAACAATTGATGAATGTCGATGTTGTGTCGAGCGCGCAGTGCTCGTTACTTGCTGTCCGAATGTGAAATGCATCATAGAGCAGCGATGCGTTGAATTTGGTAAAAGTAAATGAAAGTACGAACCTCCTTTGGCACAGCCGAACTCGCAGGAAGTAGCTGTAGCGATATAATGGGCTTTTCCTTTATCCGATTATACTACCTCTTGTCCGGATAGTCAGATAATACACGGCGACGGTGTAATCATAGACGAATAAGAAGATGAACGCGCTCGCACCTGGCTTTTATTTTCAATATGTAAACCTAGAAACGAATTAAATCCAATCAGCGGCAATATAATCAATTACGATAAATCCTCAGTAATTAAGCACGGTAATTGGATGAACTCGATGCGTGATGGTTTTTTTTTTACTTGATTTTGTTGATTTGTAAGGTGATGATGTTCAAAAAGAAATCCTTATAAACAACTCGGAACGCATGCGTCGTCTCCACTAGAACTTTGGCCTTCTTCAGAATCGTATCTGGTGCGCTGCCAAAGCCTAAATAATCCACCCTTGTGTCGCCGTAACGAGGATTAAACCACCCCTATTGATTTTTTTTTTCGACGAAGAGTTTCGCGCAGCTCCGCTCTTACCAAATATTTATGATATGCAGGGTGCTAAGTATCAGGAACAATTTTTGGAGAAGCGTCGCATCATCTGACTATAGTTGTAGGCACTTGTACAGAATATGTTCAAAACTTCCTTCCTCATCTATAGGAATCCTCTATCAAAAGAAACACATTTCCGCGACTGTTGTCAGTTTTGCGACAACGACGTGGTCGTCGCCGTCGCCGACGTCGTTTTCTTCTCCATTAAGTTAATATGACTGGAAAAAAACAACTGGTGAAAGCCAGACGCAATCGAATCACTACACCCGAAACGCGATTTTCATCGGCAGCTTAACCTTCACTACGTCGCCCACGCGACATTACGCAATTACTCTGTGGAATTCTGATGAGATCGCGGATTTAGGTTTCCTGCAGGTTAGGCTACCTACATCGCTAAGAGCAGAATTCAGATAATAACGTAATTATGAATTTACATTAAGGGTGATGGTATTATCTGGAATACAGACAATGCTTTCAAGGTTTTTGAAAATGCAAGGCCATGGAAACGATTTGTTTTGTTTACATTCCTCATTACGACAATTAGCGAACAAATCAAGGCGTTAATAACAGTTATTTAAGACTTCACTTAAAGTGAATACTATTCAAAGTTAAATGAAAATTGATCAAGTCCACCTATCGATACTGATATTATCAATTGATTAAGCTAGATAGTAAATTGTATCAGTGTCCTACTGAAACAAAAATAAATAAAACGCATCAAATATAATCTATACATAATAAAATACAAACACAATGCGTTTAATATAATCATAACATTAATATTATTAAGCTTTCTACTTGTACTATCACTTAAACGCTTTCAATATTTTTCCATAAAATTCTTACCAAAAATACTTAATAAACATATTTAATTGCAAGTAATCATTAACTATACAAGTAAATGAAATGAGAGAACATTCACAATTTTGGATATTTGAATATAGCAAATTTAATTAAAAAAAGAATTAAACAAATATAAATCATTATGAAACATCACTAATGAATTACTTAAGAAGCTAATGCTTTTAACTATAATCTTTCCACCCAAATTATAAAAATGTTCTAATAACTATACATAGTTAAATCATGTATTTTATTACATAAGTGGTGACTAATGTGTTTTTTTTTCAAATATTTGATTATATCATCGCAATCTATTGAATTCAGCCATTGAAATAAACAGATTTATTATCACTATAAATTTATTAATTGGTCAGTATAAATAAATATAAGTATAATATTTAATAGTTACTTTTTTAATTGACTCTATCGAACAATTATTAATTGTTGATAAATCATGATGCCAACGATTAATAGATTGAATTATTAAAATTTAAATGAATTATCATTAAGTTAAGGGTTTAATGTTTTCTGTTAAAAGTGCATTTGTGATGTATGGAAATAAAGTCTAAAGGAATTGTATTTATTCTAATATTTTGCTAGTCTCGTGGGACAATGATTGCTAAATATAAATGGATTTAGTTTATTTATTTATGTATCAGGAAGATCAACTGGTTTCGTCAATGAATGGGTCATCAAGTGTCGACCTTTGTCAACAGTTTATTAAGTAATTTGCATGGACGCATGTAGGATAGGATATGGAAGAGAAGCATCAGTAGCAGTAGCAATTCGTCCTCAGTATTCGAAAAATTGTAACTGTTGAATAATGTTCAGGCAGGTCGCTGGCGCTGCGGATGGTACAGTGGGCCCTCTATTAATTTGACAACGTAGGCCACGACAAAAACAAACCGCACCTAACCTCGAATACATCTATTATATACATATATTTTTTGATAATTTTCTATTCAACAATTATGGATATGCATTGAAGTGACGCCGCGATCCACAAAATGGAAGGCAGTAGGAACGTGGATGGGGACAAGGCGTCCTTCTGGAAGAAGAACAGTAAAACTGTGCCAGGAAGGTAAATTCTACTTATCACTGATTCATTGTTAATGCCACATAACAAACCTGTTCATTTGTAGGCCTAGTCCCAAGAAAGATGTCAAGATCATTGGCAAAGTAAAACCAACAACAACAACATCCTTCCAAGAATTCCAAGCATCAGTTAGTGATGCCTGGGAACTAGGCGATGATGAATTTTGTATTGTACCGGGAATTGAAAGTATGTACCCACATCTTGTGTTTTGATATGATTCAGAAAGTTTGAAATTATTTACCTGAATTCCAAAGCTGTAAACCGATCCACTCCTAAACATTTACTTTAAATTCCATCTGATTGTTCCAGTTTCACCACTGCTTTAGATCAGAACTAAAAGTCATATTACCTGTTTTTTACAAATGTCAATAGATTCCACTCCTTTTTAAACTACTATGAACTGATGTTCTATGCACCTTTAAAACCATCCTGATTCTTCATCAATGCTTTAAATCCACTGTAAAAGGTAAGTGCTCAGTCATGTTACCTTTTAAATGTAGCAAAAACATATCCTCTTCTATTTTATTGAATCTACATCAATGTTTCCTTCAAAAAAAAAATTGCACTTTAAATAGATTGTTTTTATCCTAAATGTATACTACCTTACCTTTTATAAGCCAGTTACCTATATTGCACTTGAAGATTAGTCATGAAATGGTTAAATTAATTCATAACCTGCTCCACAATAGTTATTCCATTCTATTAAAACTCTTCAAATATTGTTGTAATTTGTAAATTTTCACTAAGTTAAAACGTTATTTTTTTTAGAGACAAGAATATCAAAGAGGGTTTCAGAATCAGCAGCTTTAAATGTTATAAACAGTCATAGAAATTCTGAGGGCTGTGCAGAGTCTACCAGCATGAAACCAGATATTGAGTGGGAAATAATGAGGAATCGGATACCAGGAAGACCGCAGCCTTTGCGTTGCACAAATCAACAAGATGAAGATTGTGAGTCGAAGCTCTCCAAGTTTCAAACTCTATTAGCAGGATCGCCGAGTATGAACGACCTTTGTGAACTCAGCTGGTCAGGAATACCAGTAAAAATACGACCAGTATCGTGGAGATTATTATTGGGATATCTTCCAGTGAACTTGGAGAGGAGAGGCGGCGTGCTTGAACGAAAGAGACAGGAATATTGGAACTCCGTGAAACAGTACTATGAGAACGTTACTGAGGAATATCAGGAGACGTATCATCAGATTCATATTGATGTGCCCAGAATGAACCCCACGATACCTCTATTCCAATTCAAGACGGTACAACAAATGTTTGAAAGAATACTTTTCATTTGGGCCATAAGACACCCGGCGTCTGGATACGTGCAGGGTATAAACGATTTAGTAACACCGTTTTACGTGGTCTTTCTGCAAGAAATGATACCAGATGATGCTCCATTCGAATTGTTCGATGTAAATAGTTTAAGGCAGGACCAGCGAGATATCATCGAAGCTGATAGCTTTTGGTGCCTCTCGAAGTTTCTTGATGGTATCCAAGACAACTACGTATTTGCGCAATTAGGAATCCAAAAGAAAGTAAACCAACTAAAGGAACTCATACAGCGCGTGGATGAGACGCTGCACAAACATCTGATCAGCCATAATGTGGACTACTTACAATTTTCTTTCCGATGGTTAAACAACCTGCTGACAAGAGAACTACCCCTAAGATGTACTATTAGACTGTGGGACACCTATTTGGCTGAATGTGATACCTTCGCTTCGTTCCAGCTTTATGTTTGCGCAGCTTTCCTGCTGAACTGGAAGAAGCAACTCTTGAACGAGAATGATTTCCAAGGACTTATGATATTACTGCAGAATTTGCCCACACGTGAGTGGACAGGCCAACAAATTAGATTACTAATAGCAGAGGCTTACAAATTGAAAGTAGAATTCGCAGATGCTCCTAACCACCTGCAAAGCAATCAGGTCGCCAGCTGATTAACATTACTATAAGGTCAATTATTATTGTTGTTGTTGGTTTTTTTCTTCGGTAAATAATTACAGTTTTGTGATCGATATTGAGGCTCGCAAATGAAACCCATCGAACTGTAATTACTTATCGCAATTAAATATTCGAAATGAAAAGTTCACTCCAGTCCTCCCGATTTTTACTCTTATAAATATTTTTATATTCAATAACTGTAATTTGTATATTAATCCACAATATGTTCATAACTATATTTATAGACAATTGTACAAATAAAAAAAAGGAAGAAGAGAAACAAACAAATTTTATTTTCTTTTGCTCCATAAGGCAACTAAGAGAAAAGGAAACCATGTTATTGTTAATATTTCTTTAACTCAGATATTATGCTATTGATTATTCGTTTTCAACAGTAAAGAGTTAGATTACTTTATTTGTCAAATTTTAATAAACATTTAATTATATAAAATGTGTCATTTCATTTACTTATAGACAATGGTAGTCATTTTTGATACAAGTATGTTAATATCATTTTATGATTCATTCAATGTAAACTATAGTAATTACCACTACATGTATATTTGTATGATTGTAGTAACAAATTTCATAGTTTATTAATGAAGTTAATTAGTATACGTTAATTTTAAATATCATATCTAAAACTTTAATGATATGTTAGCATAAAACGTATATATTTGTAACATAGTTATGGTATATTAAGATGTTAAGAAGAAAATTTGAATAAGCAAGTATTGCCAACTGGAGGAAAACTAAGATGAATCAGATGTCAGAAATGTGAGAGAAAAATTTGTATTGAATTCTGTAGAATTGAATTACGACAGAGTGGCGGGAGTGGTTTTTGTTGAGGTTGACAGATTGGAGATATGATTCATAGGCAAGGCTCAAAGTCGTAACGTTTTATACATATTTGCTTTGCGTGTATATTTACAAATATCTTAATCGGAGGTGTACGGTATCACGTCGTGCCAATTACACAGGTATGTTTATTGTTTCGCATTCTGGTGAGTCTGTTTTTCAACATCGTCTCTAGTTACAGCTCAACTATTTACAAACAATTATGTCTGAGCACTTTGGATTAAAATGGGACCCAAAGAACTTGGAGATAAGGACGATGTCTGTGGAGAAGACGCTGGAGCCGCTCGTCTTGCAAGTAACTACACTTGTCAATACCAAAGGGCCCAGTAAGAAGAAGAAGGGAAAGTCGAAGAGGGCCAATGCCCTTGTAAGTACAGTAGAGAAGGCAACAGAGAATTTCATTCAGAAGGGCGAGCAGATTGCATATGAGAACAAAGATATAACACAAGAGATGCTTTCAGCTGTGGATGAAGTCAGGAAAACAGGTAAGCACTTTCCAATTGTGACTAAGCTATGTATGACTCATATTTTAACAATGCAGGTACTGCAATGAGTATTGCTGCTAGGGAATTTTCTGAAGATCCTTGCTCATCATTGAAAAGAGGGAATATGGTCAGGGCTGCAAGAAACCTTCTGTCAGCTGTCACCCGTTTGTTAATTCTTGCTGATATGGTTGATGTTCATCTATTGCTGAAGTCACTGCAAGTTGTCGAAGATGATCTGCAGAAGCTTAGTGGAGCTTCTAGTCAAGGAGAACTTCTTGATAACATTAAAGCTTTTGGTCATAATGCAAATGAACTGATGAATCAGGCAGCTAAACGGCAGCAGGAACTTAAAGATCCTCAATTGAGGGATGACTTAGCTGCTGCCAGGGCTGTACTTAAGAAACATTCTACTATGCTTCTGACTGCATCAAAGGTCTATGTCAGGCATCCCGAGTTAGCTGCGGCCAAAGCGAATAGGGATTACGTTTTGAAGCAAGTCTGCGAAGCTGTAAACACTATAAGCGATGTTGCTCAGGGTAGAACCCCGCAGCCATCTCAGAATCCTTATGATGGACCCGGCGAGCTTGCTGCAGCTTTGGACGATTTCGATGTAAGTGTAATGGTATTTATTCTTCATTATCAAATATTGATATTTTTATCTCCTAGTTATCAACTGAAAAGCAAACAAGCAACTCTAGATATGAGGGGTATTGTAAAGTGTGTGAATTAATATTGTTTCTATTTTGCTTTTTTGCTATTTAACGTTTTACGATATTTGCAATTACGTTTCTAGCATTGAAATAATCATTTATTATGTTTTGTTTAGGAACATATGGATATGGAACCGTTGGCTTACAACGAGGTCCACACAAGGCCGTCGCTTGAAGAGAGGTTGGAGAGCATCATCAGTGGAGCAGCCCTTATGGCTGACTCCAGTTGCACTAGGGATGAACGTCGCGAAAGGATTGTTGCTGAATGCAACGCCGTTCGCCAAGCGCTTCAAGATCTTCTTTCCGAATACATGTCCAACGTAAGTTTATTTAAGTTTTGTCTGACTAACTTATAAATATTATGAATTTTGTAACAATAATTGCATGAATCATCGTTTACAAATGTATTAACGATAATTTCATTATGATTTGCCACATATAGCAAATGCAAATTTTACGAGGAGGTCCAATGGTAAATATAATTATGGAAATAAATGTTCCTCCTTCAACCTACTACTACTACTACTTGCAAAGTCTAATTATATTGTCCAAATGCACCAAACATATATGTTTTCTCGCACACTTAGTCTTCTTGAAGGAACGAAGCATGCTTGATCTCTGTCGCATTATTATTATCTTTTTCGTTTGAAACGCGATGTTTATTTAAATGAAATTCCAGATGGGTAGCAAGGAGCACAGCGATGGCCTGAACCATGCCATTACCCACATGGGAAAGAAAACAAGAGATCTAAGAAGGCAATTGCGCAAGGCAGTAGTTGATCATGTCTCTGACAGGTAATAATCTATACAAAGCGGGAAATAAATCTGATAACTAATACGAAAATAATTGAAATTTTCAGTTTTCTTGAAACAAATGTACCATTATTGGTACTTATAAAGGCCGCACAGAGTGGTAACGAGAAAGAGGTTGAAGAATACGCGGCCGTTTTCAAGGAGCATTCCAATAAGTTGGTAGAGGTGGCCAACTTAGTTTGTAGCATGTCCAACAACGAGGACGGAGTGAAGATGGTCCGCTATGCGGCAGCTCAAATTGACAATCTTTGTCCCCAGGTTATAAACGCAGCTCAAATTTTAGCGGCGCGACCGCGTAGTAAGGTTGCTCAAGAGAACATGGACGCATTTAAACAAGCTTGGGAAAACCAAGTTCGTATATTAACAGAGGCAGTTGATGATATAACGACAATCGATGATTTCCTTGCCGTCTCCGAGAATCATATCCTAGAAGACGTGAACAAATGCGTATTGGCTCTACAAGAATGCGATGGAGATACTTTAGAGAGGACGGCTGGAGGAATTAGAGGCAGATCCGCAAGGGTGTGTAACATGGTGACTGCTGAAATGGACAACTACGAACCTTGCGTTTACACGAAGAGGGTTTTGGAGGCAGTTAAAGTTCTGAATGAACAGGTAATGCCGAAGTTCGGACAACGTGTGTCCGTAGGTGTTGCGGCGCTTTCAAGCAATCCGCCAAAAGAGGTGGATGAAAATGATTTCATCGACGCAGCTCGTTTGGTCTACGACGGAGTTCGCGAAATACGCAGGGCTGTTTTAATGAACAGGGCTGATGAAGATTTAGATCCGGAAGACGTTGTTGTAGATGAAAATTATACTTTAGAAACACGAAGCAAATGTAAGTGTACAGGATAATGTTGTATGCAATGATTTTAATTTTTGCAATTTGCAGCTAGCGCACATACTGGTGAGCACGGAGTTGATGAATATCCTGATATCAGTGGCATCACCACAGCTAGGGTTTGTTTTGAATATTATTCATAATAATATTATATGAATTTAATTATTTGCGTTGTAGGAAGCTATGGGTAAAATGCCTGAAGAAGATAAGCAGAAGATTCTACAGCAAGTAGAATTCTTCAGAAACGAGAAACTTAAGTTTGATAAAGAAGTTGCTAAATGGGATGACACTGGAAACGATATAATTGTACTTGCCAAACACATGTGTATGATCATGATGGAGATGACAGATTTCACTCGGTAAATACATAACTAATATATTAATTAGCAATGTAAATAATTATTGATTTTTTTAGCGGTCGCGGTCCGTTGAAGACAACTATGGATGTTATTAACGCAGCTAAGAAGATTTCCGAAGCCGGAACAAAGTTGGATAAGCTCACTCGCCAAATAGCGGAACAGTGTCCAGAAAGTCAAACCAAAAAAGATTTGATCGCGTACCTTCAACGTATTGCACTGTACTGCCACCAGATGAATATCACATCAAAGGTCAAAGCTGATGTTCAGAACATCAGTGGCGAACTGATAGTTTCTGGTTTGGATAGTGCGACGTCTCTCATCCAAGCAGCAAAGAATTTGATGAATGCTGTCGTCTTAACAGTAAAGGCCTCTTACGTTGCTTCCACTAAGTATCAGCGTCAAGGACCTGTTGTGGTTACGGTACGTGTTTTATTTAAAGTTATCTATAATTTAATTGTATGTGTCTTTTAATTTATTCCACAGTCGCCGATCGTCGTTTGGAAGATGAAAGCACCGGAAAAGAAACCATTGGTGAGACCGGAAAAGCCGGAAGAAGTTCGCGCTAAGGTTCGCAAAGGTTCTCAGAAGAAGGTCCAGAACCCTATACACGCGCTCTCCGAATTTCAAAGCCCCAGCGAGTCCGTTTGATGGAGGCCCTTCAAATCGTATTATATTTAATGTTTGGCCAATAATCAGTATGCCACGACCAAGTATTAATAAAATGGTACTTGAAGTCATATAGAGTGAGATAAAGTATGTAGGGTTCGTTTCGTCATTGGGTTTTTTTCAGAAGCATCTGTAGAAATTATTTATATTTAAACGAAGCTTTCGTTGGATTCATTTATGGAAGAAATTCATGTTTTAACATATATACTGTAGACATTTCAAGTACCCAAATATATATATATAAGTATATGGTATATAAACAAATTATAATTGAGTAGAATGTATATGATTTTTTTAAAATAAATTTGTGACTATCGAATTTACTATTATTTTTACTTATTTTAGATTAATTAATAAATATCTAAAATCTGAATTTTATAATTAATAATTAACAAATGAAGATTTGGAGATAATCATTCTTATTTTATTATTTTTTAATATTGATTTCTTAAAGCGCCAAAAACCTTGAACTTCTACCTTTCAATAATCTCCAGTAGAGGGAATATTTCGATTCATATGGTGACTGACAGTCCACAATTTAAAATTTTGAGTAGTTTTCCCTTCACACAGCGATGTACATTTAGTTACCTACAGTCGATATACAAATTTATATAAAAATTCTAAAAATATCTCTTATTTCTGCTCTAGTAAACTATATCGAGGTTAGCATTAAATTAAAGTGGATACATTCATTCGTTCTCATAAAGTTGAAAAATTACTCAATTTACTGAATACTTTTCTTCTACATTATTTTTATATGAATAAAACTATGAATTGTCCCAATTATTATTCAATTGTTTAGATTAATAAAGTTAAGCAACTCGTGACAATGATAGTACTCGAATGTGTGATGATTTTTAAAAAAAATTAACATATACAGTGGAACTTCGCTTAACGAGCAAATTGAATTGTATTTTTCGCTTAACGAGCGACGTTTCGCATAACGAGGGAAGATGAGAAGAGAAGTCCCGGATTGCGCGCCTGCTACATAATTTTTAAAACCTATGTACACATATTATGTGTATTTTTGAATATGTTTCACTATACGAGTAAAAATCTGGAAATTTTGGAACTCCTTAAGCGAGGTTCCACTGTTTGTCCAAATATTTTGATTAATAGAAATTAGATTTAAATGTTATATAATAAAAACAGTAAAGTATTGCTTACATGTATTTTTACAATTTGAAGCCTAAAGTCATTCAATACAATTATTATTTGAAATTGGTAATAAATATTTTACAATTTAATATAGAATAATTTGCTTTAATTAATTAAAAATTCGCGATAAAAAATAAAGCTTTGAAAATATGTTGGTTACATAATTACAGATTTTGAGTTGTCCATAGCAAACGAAAACCAATAAATTAGCTAGATGTAAGCAGATGAAATAAAATTGAATAATTCTTTTTGAAATCGTGATTCCGTCTTTTTTAGTATTTGTCGTAAAAATTCGTTGTGTATCTGTGCGCTCGTAAAAAGTGTGTTTTCATTTTGAGCGCTCGTATTAACGGCGCCTCCTCCTGTCTGCCCCTCCTTTAATATTTTATCTCCTCCCGGTGCTTTGTAGTGGGTATTTCAACCGCCAATAGCGTTTACCCACTCTATACTATATTTATCGCACGAATCCACTACAAAGTAACAATATTTAAACGGATAGAGATATGAGAACAAATTCTGATTAGGCCTTAACATCCATCACAATTTATTTGCTAGTTTTTCATATGTTCTCATTTAAAAAAGCAAATATTTTTATATTTATTTTAGACAAAATTTACTAGTGTTTACAAATATTTAAGTAAAATACTATAATTGTCATTCAGATGCTTGCACAAGTGGTAAAAAATAATACGTTACGGGGAAAATTATTTATTTAAATATTAAGTAGCTAAAGAAAATTACTAAATGATTAAATTTAGAATTTTTTTTGAAAATTTTATGTTTATAACAAAATATGCAAAAAAAATATATTTATTAATTTGATATACATAATAAAAAAAAATATACAGGTAAAATCTCTATATTAATTAATACTGTTTAATGTAACATCTACAATAATTTTTAATAATTGATTTTTTTGTTTCATCAATCAAATGAACTTTCTAATTAGAATTTAATTCTATAAATTTTTTGTACTATGCTTATTACAATTTCTAAACATTATTTTTTTTTATATTCTACACTTTACTTTTTATATAATATTTATATGATGAGAACAAAATAGTTTGTAACAATGATATGAAATGATATTTCTATTATATGAACGAAATTAGTACAACTATATAGTTGTTATATAAAATAAAATAAATAATATTTTTAATATTGAATATAATTTCATATCACTTTTATTAAGTACTCAGATTTCCTTAGGAAATATTATTTGTTCATTATTTATATGATTATTAGAAGTAGTATTAATAACATTTAGCAATGGTCTTTCTTTCTGTTGGCTTGGTAAAGCTCATGCGTTAGTTTCGAGCGAAAAATTTTTGCTAGAATGTAAGATTTACCTGCAAACATAATGAAAGCGACTTAATTTAAATTATCGAAAGTTTGACGAGCAAGGTCCTCGATAATCGTATTATTATCTTCGCACTCACCTTGAGGATGGACTCTCTTACAAACTTTGCAGCTGGGTGGTGGACTTGGAGATTCCGAATCTTCATCTGCACGTTCCAGATCAACTTCTATAGGTTCCGAAATAACTTCTGCAGATTCCGGAACAACTTCTGCAGTTTTTGGAGAAACTTCTTCAAACTTTAGAAACAATTCTGGCAAAACTGGTACTGTAGATTGTGGAATAACTTTTGTATGTTTCGGAAGCACTTTTAGAGATCCTGGAACTACTACTGCAGGTTCCGTAAACACATCTGCAGGATTTTTGGGGATGGCTAGTGCTGCCAATCTGATTGCTCTTCGATTGCGAATCAGCGTAAGGCGGTTATCATGCTCCGACGCAGCTGTCAATAAATCCTTTATAGTTATTATATCGGGACTCATCGTCCAGCGTTGGTTCTTTGGGCGCAGTTGATTGCGTAAGAAATCTAAATATTTATCTGACATGACTTTATTTGTCAGATTCTCGTACAGCTGTATCTTTCGAACGATGAAATCCCTACTTTTATCAGATCGTTTTTGGCATTCGTTGTATAACTTGTTCAAGGATTTATTACGCAATAGCGGTTTCGCGAATCTCTGACGGATAAGTTGGTAAACTTCTTCTTCGGTTTCGTTCTTGATGTATAAATCTTGGTACCAGTTGCAGGCCATATCGTGAAACATGGTTTGGAGAACCGAAACACGCTTATTTGGAGGCGTATTCGTTTCTTTGAAGTACAACTTCGCGGACGCGATAAACATTTCTATATCGTCTTTATGATTTCCACAAAACCTAGGTTTGGTAATTTCGATTTTCTTAGGTTTAGGTAAAATTTTCACCTGTCTTTTATAGCACTTTGGAAGTGGCATCCGACCAATGACCATAAGTTCTTCAGTTGGTTTTGTAGGACTAACTGCACTGGAAGGACCCGCTATAGTAGGTCTCAAAGTATTTATCTTCATTTCATTGGTAGATCTTATAGAAGTTGAAGGACCAGCTTCGAATGGTGAAGCTTTTTCTCTTTTATATGATATATTCTCAACTTCAATTGGAATTGAATGTGTTATTGGCGAAATACGAGCAACGGGTGATGACAAGTCTTCATTTTCTGATATAGTAACTATAATCTCTTCATCACTAGAATTATATTCATTTATATCAGTTTCTATTTCAATTTTAGTTGAATGATTTACAGTTGTAGGACCAGCTACGGATGGTTGAACTGATTGAAACTCGCTTCTCCAAGTATTATATGGTCTTTCGATAATATTATTTAAAGAATAATCACTAGATGGAAAATGGATTGTAGCCTCCATTTTATTCCCACTGTGCTGTAAACCATGCAGAGGATTTACACTCATAGATATTGGTGTTGGTCTTAATACGGCAGAAGAAGTATAATAGTTGACTTCCCTGTGATTAATATCAGACGAATCAGACGAATGAACAACTGTAGTATGTGGTACATAGATTGGGTGGTTATAAAGCATTCTACTAGGATCATCTTCATTTCGGGTCCTCCAACTGCTGTATCCATTAGGATAATTTAAATTAGAAGCAATCGAAGTTGGTCCATATACATTGGAAGAGTCTGCTATTGCAGGTCTAATACTGGATTCATTTTGAGTCGTCCAAGTGTTGTAAGCATCAAAGTAATGCGTAGCGGGATAGAGCGGTGTAGGCCTATGTATAGCAGTACGATTTGCTATGACAGATGCAGTATCAGATTCATGTCGAATACTCAAAGTATTATAATCCAATCCTCTCGAATGGTCTACAGATAAAGGTGGAACATACAATTGGTGATGTCTATTCCATGCGTTAAAAGGTGCATATCTTGGACGATTTAGAATCGGTGTTGGTGTAAATACAGGTGCAATATTGGATTCATTTTGGTTCATCCATCTGGGATAATGTACCATCGGATGTAAAGACATCGGAATTGGTCTGAATACGTTTGTAGTTTGAGCTAGCGGTCGTTGTCTGTATATAGCAGGAGGATATGCTATGGCAGGGGGCATCTCAACTGTATTTGCGGGTCTCCAAATATTGTAATCTGTTCCATAGTTTAAAATTGATCGGCCAGTTACGTTGTGAGAATTTAACGTTGGATTTTCGGTACGATGTGTTCCAGGATAAATTACAGTAGAAGTTGTTGGTACGGGAGAAGGATTTTCGATTCTTCGAGTATCGTACGGTTGTTCACTAGGACTATTCTCCTCAGATCTATAAGCTCGTATAGACATATTTAAAGGCTCCTCATTAATATTCCCCCATGTATTAATTGATCGAATCTGGGAATTGCTTGTATCTTCGTCGGAACAAATGCGGCTCGTAGATGGTCCCCAATAATCCATTTCTCTTCTTCTAAAAATAATAAGAATTTCAATAGAAAACAGATCTAATTATAACTGTGGAAATCTACACGATTTCAATACTGTGCTCGAATTCGCAGGAAAGTCGAGACGATGTTTATTATTTTTGTTTACTTTGCGGAGCGGCTCGCTTCAGGAACTACGACTACTACTCGAATAGGATTGGATCGTTTGCTTTAAAGGCTTAATCAATTTGAACTGAAATCTAGTATGACCGCAATGGATTCCTTTCCTCTCGAATGTTTTGTTTATGCTTCGAGCATGTAATGTGCACCCGATTTCTTAGTATATAGTACGATAA